GAAGGAAGGAGGGAGAGAAGGAGGAAGGAGGGAAAGTGGATGGAGAATAGAAGGAAGTAAAGTGAAAGAAGAAAGGAGGGAGGGAAGGACACCGAGAGATAATTTTAGGAAAGATGTGAAACAGAAAGAAAGAAGGAAGAGAGTTAGAGAAAGAAGGAACAGGGAGAGAGAGAGCTAGAGAGAGAGAGAGAGAGAGAGAGAGAGGGGTTATATAAACAGACCATAATATAAACTGGATATATTATACGCGATCAAGGATGGTAATAATGTAACTGGTTCACTTTTACTTATGGTCAACAGTAACACGTAACTCTACTGTAGTGATTGTCAAGAACTTACCTGACTGGTTAATGCTGTGAGGGTAAATGTCTGCCTGTGTGATCCTTGGATATATTGTTGGTTAATGCTGTGTGGGGTTAATGTCCTGTTTGTGTGTGTGTTAGGAGGGTATTTCTGCTGGGTATTAGTGTGGAGGGTATTTCTGCTGGGTATTAGTGGGGAGGGTATTTCTGCTGGGTATTAGTGGGGAGGGTATTTCTGCTGGGTATTAGTGGGGAGGGTATTTCTGCTGGGTATTAGTGGGGAGGGTATTTCTGCTGGGTATTAGTGGGGAGGGTATTTCTGCTGGGTATTAGTGGGGAGGGTATTTCTGCTGGGTATTAGTGGGGAGGGTATTTCTGCTGGGTATTAGTGGGGAGGATATTTCTGCTGGGTATTAGTGGGGAGGTGGGGAAGGTATTTTGCTGTTTGTCTCTGCTGTAAATAAATGGTTGTGTTTTGAAGAGAAAAATAACAGCATTTAATTATTTTTTCCTTCCGAGTTATAATTAAAATTCCGATATAAATGACACCTGTTGTCTGTCTTTGTTTTTAGAACCAAGTACAACAGGTAGTTCCGCTTGTCGACATCCGGTAGTGAAGGGGAGAGTGTTTGCCTGTCTCTCTCTCTCTCTCTCTCTCTCTCTCTCTCTCTCTCTCTCTCTCTCTCTACCTACCTACCCACCTATCAACTTTGAAAGGTAAACACGGTATATTGATCATGACAGGTGTGTGTGTGTGTGTGTGTGAACGTCGTCTTGTACCATCCCGAGAGCTTACAGCCACCATTATTTACCTAACAAACAAATTGGTGAAAGATGATTAAAAAAAATATATAGTAAAAAAAAATACAATAAGAAATAGCTCACGTGTAGCCTCTCGAAGCGGCGATTGTAGTGAATTGCCTTGATTCTGGGGTTACGTGTGTCATAGTGTGGTGGTGGTGCTTAGTGGAGCGGAGAGAGAGAGAGAGAGAGAGACATACATAGAAGCACAAACATACATACATACATACATACATACATACATACATACATACATACATACAACCATACATACATTGATAGAAAGATAAATCAAGGAATAGAAAGACAGAAACAAAATAGAAATAATTAGATTAACCGATAAATATAGAGAGAAATAGAATGATAAACGATAGACAGAAAGGGAAACATCATAGCCACAGGTGTTGTAAGACTGTTAGTAATCGACCTCATTAGCTAGCCCCCCCCTCACCTGTACAGACCCGAGACGAGATGTCAACACGGCCTACCTACCACTTACCTGTCCAGCTATCCTCTTCCTCCTACACCTTCTTCTTCTTCTTTTTACCCCTACTTTCTCCTCCTCCTCCTCCTCCTCCCCTCCTCCTCCTCCTCCTCCTCCTCCACCTTCTTCTTCTTCTTTTACCCTACTTTCTCCTCCTCCTCCTCCTCCTCCTCCTCCTCCTCCTCCTCCTCCTCCTCCTCCCTCCCACCTTCTTCTTCTTTTTACCCCTACTTTCTCCTCCTCCTCCCTCCTCCTCCTCCTCCTCTTCTTCCTCCCCTCCTCCTCCTCCAGATGTAACAGTAACACGGCGTGACTATCGCCAGAGAGTTCAGGAGGTAAATATTATTCTTATAGCAAATGGAAAAAAAAAGCAATAGCGAAAAGGAATGTACGTTGTATGTGAAATAGCGCACACACACACACACACACACACACACACACACACACACACACACACACACACACACAGAAAAACCAGTTATAGTTGTTTTAACCTGAGAAGGCGACTCTCAAGCAACGCCATACGAAGCACGACACGCTGTAGCTGCCAGGTTTAGATACACGCAAGGTCAATGGGAACCTGAGAATGGGTCACTCTCTCTCTCTCTCTTTCTCTCTCTCTCTCTCTCTCTCTCTCTCTCTCTCTCTCTCTCTTTCATTATATGTTTTTTCTCATTTTATTTTAATCACTCTCTTTATTTCTCTCTCTCTCTCTCTCTCTCTCTCTCTCTCTCTCTCTCTCTCTCTCTCTCTCTCTCTCTCTCTCTCTCTCTCTCCTACAGGGGTCAGGGTGATAATTAGAGAATGGTGACCACTGACGGCCGCTTTATTCGATCAAAACCATAATAATAATCATACCCAGTGTGGAAGAGAACTATATAACTATACCCGGTGTAAACACAGTACTCTCGACCCTCTACCAAAAGTACACAAGGTCGAGTCTCCCATGCCGTCACTCTCTCCGTAGCTACCCGGTGTAAACACAGTACTCTCGACCCACTGCAAAAAGGACACAAGGTCGAGTCTCCCATGCAGCCACTCCCTCCTTCTCTTGTCGTCGTCGGAAACGTTCATGTCATCGTTTTCACTTTCTGTAGGGCGCGAAAAGTTACAGAACGTCTTTGAATTCGTCTCCGTTAATTTTTTTTCGTTCTTTTATTATATATCATCATGAATAACTTGTGTAATCCGGAATAATCGTTCTTTTAAGCTAATTTCCCCCTCTCTCTCTCCCTCCCTCTCCCTCTCCCTCCCTCCCTCCCTACCTCTCTTGAACCCAAGTTGCAACACAGTGACGTGGAAGGAGTCAGTTGTTTTTTTGTTGATGTAGCGGAGGGTACAGGCGTCTATTGTCCAACTAAACCGGATTTTAGCAGCGTTTTTTGTTTTTGGTGGTGTTGGTTAGATTCAAGTGTTTATTGTTGTTGTTACAGGGAGGATTCAGGTGTTTATTGTTGTTACAGGAGGATTCAGGCGTTTATTGTTATTACAGGGGGATTCAGTCGTTTATTGTTGTTACAGGGGGATTCAGGCGTTTATTGTTATTACAGGAGGATTCAGTCGTTTATTGTTGTTACAGGGGGATTCAGGCGTTTATTGTTATTACAGGAGGATTCAGGCGTTTATTGTTGTTACAGGAGGATTCAGTCGTTTATTGTTGTTACAGGGGGATTCAGGCGTTTATTATTGTCATATTAAGGAATCACGGGTTGAATTTCGTCGTCATTTGTTATTTTAAGGAGGATTCTGGCATCTATAGCTATGAAAGGGAAGATTCCGTCGTCTATTGTTACATCTATGACTAAATAGCGTTAAATCCTTCTCTGGTCAGGTTCAGGATGATGGGTGATGCTCAATTGTTTCTTATTGTATTCCTTTCTCCGTCAGATGCGGTTAGTGCGTATTATAAACACTGAGAATATATCTTTTCAGTCTGTCTTGGAGGCTGTCTGTCTGTCTGTCTGTCTGTCTTTGATAGTATGATTGAATATTTGTATGTAAGTAGTGATCCATATTAATAGTGGTGACATTAGCGCCCTACCTAAATGATAGTCATGGTAATGGTGGTGGTAATGGTGGCAATGGCAGTACTAGAAGTGATGGTGGTAGTGATGATGATGGTAATGGCAGTACTAGAAGTGATGGGTGGTAGTGATGATGATGGTAATGACAGTATTAGTAGTGATTGTAGTAATGACAGTACTAGTAATGGTGGTAGTGATGATATAAGTAATGGTGTTAGTAATGGTGATAATGGCCCCTCGGTGACCAGCTAGTGTGAGTGTATGGTTCTACAGTGGAGGCAGTAAAGTCACCACGTAGCTTGACATTTACACACTTTCAATTTTTATCTCCGTATACCACCACTACCACCACTACCACCATTACCACCACTACCACCACTACCACCACTACCACAACTACCACACCTACCACAACTATCACTACTACCACCACTACTACCACTACCACAATTATCACTACTACCACCCCTACCACCACTACCACAACTACCACTGCTACCACCACTACCACCACTACCACAACTACCACTAGTACCAATACTATCACCACTACCACTACTACCACTATTTTTAATCACTGTGGCAGGGGGTCAACGTGTAATCAACCACTCACTCAACCACTCAACCACCAATTAACCACTCCTCTCACCTGGACAATTATAGTGCGTCAGACACAATACATTCACCAATTTTCTTTTCCAGTTGTAGATTTTTTTTCTTTTTTTCTTTTTTTTTTACGATACGAGCGATAGTTAAGTTGTCTCTTTATAGCCTTTAGCCGGACCAATGTTCACTCACATTTCTTTATCGCTTTCTTTATTTTTTTCCTTCTTTATTTATTTATTTCGTTCGTTCCTTCCTCCATTTATTTCCTTTCCTTCATTCCTTCATTCCTCCCTCCATCCATTCCTTTCTTCCTTCCTTCCTTCCTCCCTTCCTTCCAACCATTCCTTCCTCCCTCCCTCCCTCCCTCCATCCACTCCTTCCTTCCCTCCTCCCCGCCCCCGTAGTGACCAACCGCAAGTCCACACCATAACGCAACAGGTCTCGTCACTACACACGTCTCCACCCCCCTCCCCCCCCCCACCACCATCTATCTGTCTTCTCTGGGTGTCTGGGTTGGGTGAACTCTGTGTGTGTGTGTCCATGGATGACCCCCTCTCTCCCATCCCTCTCCCATCCCTCCCTCTCCCCTCTCTCTACCCTGAAGGTCTCTTTACGCCGATCAGATTCATCTGTTTCACATCATCATTATCATCATCATTATTCTTATCATTATCATTAAGGGAGGTTGGTTAGATCTCTCTCTCTCTCTCTCTCTCTCTCTCTCTCTCTCTCTCTCTCTCTCTCTCTCTCACCACACAAGGGGTCATAAACAAACTCAGGTCATCAGGAAGGACTGTGTTTATTAACGTTACATACAAAAGTAGTTCATCTCCTGGTGCACACAAGGAGGTTTGGTGGTGGTGATGTGCGGCCTCGGTACGGACATTGTACGGACACCACTGGCAGTACGTACGTGAAGGACAGTGGAGGCGTTTGATACGGTCTCAGGGAATGACAATATTACTGATGATAATAATAATAATAATAATAATAATAATAATAATAATAATAATAATAATAATAATAATAATAATAATAATAATAATAATAATAATAATAATAATAATAATAATAATAATAATAATAATAACCCCCCCCACACCTTAAATATTTTGTATCGTCACGGACCATTCAAGAGTGCCGCTAATTAGTCTACAAACAGGTAACAAATACGACTAGATAGCTATGCCAAAGGTAAGCATTCATAAAATACCGAAAAAGCCTTAAAATTACGACTATCATATATTAACTAACTAACGTAAAGCAAAAAGTGAACGATAATTAAAGAGATACGAACTGAAATGGTAAATGGAACTTCCAAAAAAATATACAAAATTAAGCTTGAAATTAATTGAAAGTAATAATAATAATAATAATAATAATAAATTCACTCACAAACATCTACATAAACAAAATCATAAGAGAATAAATAAATCATTTTACTACATCATTCACTCAACAATTCACAATATTTCGCGCGATAATAAAAATATACCTTCCCTCCCTCCCCACGTCCGACAGATCACGCGAAACAGAGCGAATTTAATGTAAACACTTAATGAAACAGAGATATAAACATCCATTCTATTTACCCAAACAATCGAGTCTATACTGTTGTAACTATAATTAAAACACAACTGATTGGCAGTGTGTGTGTGTGTTGTAAAGTTGTTATATAACCCATTTATAAGATTTGTGACTTAGTTGTATACAAACTAGATTTAATACCTCAATAATGTAAGTATAGAATTTTTAACTGAAAGAGATATATATATACTGATTTAACTCATAGCCACAACTCAGACTCGTATTGGATGATATTTGACCAGACATGACATAGAGACAGACAGCAATATTTTTTGATCGTATGAGAGATAATGTTAGTTAAGAATAATCACAGGTTGAGGTACTAGAGTAAGATGTTTCTACCTGGTGATTATACCTGTACCTGTAACTTCATTTGTACCTGTACCTGTAATTATACCTGTACCTGTATCTGTAATTATACCTGTACTTTGCCACTCGCTTGAAGATCTTACTTAGTTATTGACTCGTAATAATAACATTAATTACATCAACAACTTTCAAAATTAGATCTGTTTTGATTTCGGAATAACAAGTGAATTGCTGTCTGTCTGTCTGTCTGTCTGTCTGTCTGTCTGTCTGTCACTCACCTCCCTTAGATACTAAAAACCTTAATTAAACAACCTAATCAATAATAACTAGTTTAATCTTAGTTTACGACGAGCATTCTGGTCTTGCTTACTCTTGAATGGTAAAAAAAAATAAAAAATAGCGGAAACAACAATAAAAGTATCCAATTATAACTTTTATTACGTGGGGGGATTTTTTTTCTTAATACCGTTTTGGAAGTTTCTAGATAAAAGTATAAGGATTTTATTTAATACGAGATAAAAAAAAGTAAAAAAAAAAATATTATTAACATAGGTATTACGTTATGTTTGTCACTTTTTGCTTCCTCGTTCATCGACAACGTACACAAACATCTCCACTGCGGTCACCTGTGCCCTGGTGTCTGGCCGTGTGTGTTGAACCGCCTATTACGAAACATCTCACTCCTAACTATATATTTACTAAACCTATTGTATCAAATATCTTCAGAAAGTTCTTTGATATTATTCATGCATAAAAAAACTCGTCTATGATAACGGCTGAAGCATTAAGGTCCGGTACTGGTTATTATATTCTGGGGGGAAAAAAAGTGTTATTTTAGTTCCAGTCATCCGGGGAATCTTAGGAATTTGGTTAGGTTAGGTTAGGTTAGGCTAGGTTAGGTTAGGTTAGGTTAGGTTAGGTTAGGTTAGGTATCCAAACTATGCTTTTCCGATGGGTTTTTAATGTATTTTGAACCATTTGGACTTTCATATCTATCGGAAATCACCTAATTTGGATATCTAAATACAGGGATGACAGATGCTAAAATTTACCCCCTCCTCCCCCCAAAAAAGCGGCGATAAGCTTGGGTTGAGAGCATCGAGATTTGTTGGATCTTTGATGATACAGTGACGAGACACATGCGACATAAACAGCAGGGAAAACATATCGTACTGGTTAATACTGGGTGAAAATTCTTATATGAAAAGCTTTTGGGGAAAGTTTAGAGGATAAGTAATAACGGGAATACAAAAGACAGAGATAAAATACATTAAGTTATATAGGTAATTATCTGTGGCTTGTGTGTGTGTGTGTGTGTCAGTACTTATGCAAGCCATGGACTGTGTGTGTGTGTGTGGGTTACCGTAGTGTGCATCAGTACTACACAAGCCACAACGAAGCCACGGCCTGAAGGAAGGGAGAAGTGGGGAAGGTGGAGGGGAGGGGAAGGTAGAGATGTGGGGGGGGGAGGGAGGAGAGATGAGAGGGAAGAGGGAAGAGGAAGAAGGGAAGAGGAAAGGGAAGCTAAGATTAACCCACATCCAGAGATCCATTTAAAGCTGAACGTCCCTAATAAAAAATGAGTTATATTAACCTTTATATACACACACACAAAAATCCTCTGGGTGAAAATATATATATATCATCTGGTGAAGGAACAAGAGGAACTTTATAGCCTACAGAGTCTGGTGTACTTCAGCTGATGGTGGTGAGTCACGTATATGGTCCTTGTCGACGCTTCTGGTATTGTCGACTCGTGGTGTGAGTCTCAGTGATGTACATGTTGTTTACTGTTTCATAATGTCGTGTGTGTGTGTGTGTGTGTGTGTGTGTGTGTGTGTGTGTGTGTGTGTGTGCGCGTGTGTGTGTGTGTGTGTGTGTGTAAGACTCTCACAAAGACTGTATTTATATATAGCTCTTAAATCTCTTCCTTTTAATAATAATCAATTACTTACCATATAATCAGAATTAATCACAAGAGTTTACTTTAAAGGATAAATTATGACTCACGACAAATTAAATTATCCTTAAGTTAAATTAAGTTATACAAACTATGTTAAATGTTGTCTCCATAAATTAACAATAGCAGCATTAACAATAAACTCTTCACTTTCATCATAAGACAATACGCGAATAATGGTTCCTTAAGTAATATATTCAAAGCTGAAACACTGTATTAATGATAAAAATATATTGACTTCCATTTTCCTTACCATCACATAATAATAATTCAATTTTCTTTACCATTTCATTATAATACTTCTATCTTTTCTTTCCATCACCATTAAACCAATATATTTCCATATCTCATTTTCTTTTTCATTTCCAGTATCATAAACAAACAGCACCTCTCACACAATTATCATAGTCCACCATACAAAACGTCTAGTACAGTACACCCACCTTACGTTTTCTATCCCCCACACAACTAACTACAGAAGACTCACTCACTCACTCTCTGATTACCAAAACATAAGAAAGAGGCTCTGATATTTGCTTGAGACTCTCCCTATTCCTTGTACTGTGGGGAGTCTTCGTGCATAGGAGGGACAGCCTGTTGAGTTGTAAAGGCCGCCATGTTTGAGGCTAAGTTGGATTGACCAGGGAAGCCTCCGTATGCTGCACGGAACATCACCTCCGGGCTATTGTAGAACTGACTCTTGGGCTGGTTAAGGGGGTGAGGGGGGAGGTTAATGGTTGGTTAATGTTAGGTCTATAAGTTACATGGTTAATGGTTGGTTAATGCTAATTTTAATTGATGGTTAATGTCAACTGTTATTCATGGTCTCTCTCTCTCTCTCTCTCTCATTAACCAATAGCATTACTCAATTAACATGTACTAATTATTACTGATCGCATTCACTAAACATATTTCAAAAGTTGTGTTGACATAATGACGATAAACTTGCTGGTAAAGGCTATTTTGGATAAAGTACTTAATAACAGATAAGAACAAAGGTATTCTTGACAAGGTGAGAATAACAATAAACATCACTGCATTCATTACACACCTGACTGCCGACTGCTTTATCATATCACCACAATGGACTCGCCTAACCGTGACGTAACGATGACGAAAAAATGTAAACAGGAACACACATTGGTTGCTTTACTTGGAGTGTGTGGAAAGTGTTCCTATTGGCTCATATTGATGTTTACCTTCATGACGTCACAGAAAGTTTAGTCCATTGAGTACTTTACATCATTATATTGCTTAAAGGGTTTATTAGGGGTTTAAAGTTGGCCAGGTACTATTTTTGGAACATGTATGTATGTATGTATGTATGTATGTATGTATGTATGTATGTATGTATGTATGTATGTATGTATGTATGTATGTATGTACCTGTATGTATGTATGTGGCCCTAAGGAATCAATGTCATGTCTTCTTTAAACACAATTACAGCAGCGTTCTCCACACACCTGTAATTTACAGGTGTGTGGAGGAGAACGCATTCTACATACATTTTTAACTCAAGTTCAAGAGATCAAAACAAACATTAATTCTTAAACCCATGATTCATTTAAAAAACTCTATTTTACATTTCACACTTTACAGGTCTAAAAATAGTAACCAAACTAACTTTAAACCTCTAATGTAACCCTTCATTAAAGTATCTCCACTAATACCTTCAATATGTTAAGGCCAGATGATTTTATACAGCTCAGAGATGACACCATATACAAGGAGTTAGTAGATTATCTTTACAATAATATTAGTACTAAGCTCCGTGTTGATTTTCCTTACCTATTTAGTGGGTGCTGGTGACCGGCTGTGCATTGGGGTTAATAGTCACATCTCTCGGTAATGAAGGAGTGTTAAAAATATATACAACTTTCTCATCGTCTATGGTGAACAATGCTGCTATTTTTTTTATTTGACAAGTGAGAGGTTAAAACAATAAAAATATACATTGATATAAGCAGAAGAGTAGGAGCATTGTGACAGGCTCGGGGGCAACAAATAAACATACAGATTATTTATATACATATTCTAGTGAGCATTATAATATGGAATGCTAAATTTGATACACAAGGAATGGGGAAAGGGAGGAGGTCAGTAGCGTCTGGCGATCCCCTACGCCAGACGGTTGTTTTATGCCGTAGTGAAGCTAGGGTTTGTTTGTGGTATGGACATGGGGGTTGGGTAAGGACTCTAGGATGGGAGGGGGGGAGAGAGGAAGATAGGGAAGGGAATAGGGAGAGAAGGAGGAAGAGAGGGAAGTAGGCTCTATTGGTAGGTGGGCTGGCAAGGGGGAGGTAACGGGGTGTGGTAGGTAGTAGCTGAAGGGTGGGGGGGTATGGGTGATGACGCAGTGATAAAGCAACAGAAGGCAAAGAGTTAATGAAGTAACAGTAAACAGAGGCTTGGTTGAGCAACAGGGGAGAGAGAGAGATAGAGAGAGAGAGAGAGAGAGAGAGATAACGTGGTAATAGGAGGAAGAAATTTAACAGATATGAATAAACAGAGGTAGATACATGGTAGGGGGAGGAGGAGGAGGAGGAGAAGGGGCAAGAAGAGGAGAAGGAGGAGTTAACGTCTGATGGATAGATGGATAAAACAGATGGATAGATGAGTAGAAATATATGATAAACAAACTATTGAAAGATGAAAACGTATCCACATAAGAGTTGTCGAAGGAACAGGACCGAAGTACATGGATAAGTAAAATAGGTGGATAAAAGGGCAAGACGGATATGTAAGAAGTAGATGGTAAATAATGTAGATAGATGGAGAAAATAATTAGGAGATGGGTTTGCCGTTTTCTATAATTCTAGCTGGTGGGAGGAGGCTGAGTAGTGTAGGGTGGTAGGAGTAGGGAAATAGAACTCTGGTGGGTCCTATGGGTGATATTTCTAAGGCACTGGCAGGTTAAGGGAGATCCTAGACATCCTTATCTCCTTCGCTAGGTATCAGAGTGCTATCCTTTGGGGTTGATTGGGAAGAAGTCCCTGGAAATATCCTAGGGCCGCTGGGGTGTAAATACGTCCCTTAGGATTCCAGGTTGTACTTCAGGTCCTAGATGTCCCTGTGATATCCTTAGGGGTGGGTGTAGGGAGGCTCTTGGAGTGTTCTATGGGCGCCTCTGATGATGGCTGGGGTGTGAGGATAATGACTCACTTGCGCTGTAGAAGGAGGAAGAGGGGAGCAAATGCAGATCGCTCCGTTCAAAGAGTAATCAAAACTAATGAAAAGCAGGAAGAGAAAACAAAATAAATACAGGAATAACTAAAGTGCACAAAAAGCTGTAATACTGTAGTGTGTGTGTGTGTGTGTGTGTGTGTGTGTGTGTGTGTGTTACGACCGTGTCGTATTTTTCTATTTTTTTTATATAACATGCTTCCATGTTGTTCCATATTATTCCTGTAATGATGTGTTGTATTTACTATTATATAATCTTGTCACCTTAACCCTGTGCTGTTAAGGTTTTAACTGTTATTATTTGTTCAAACCCATTTTTATTTAGTATTGTAACAAGCATTCTTTGTTCTCTAACGACCATCTGCATCGTTAAACGACCCACCGGCGGGTCGCGTGGCGGGAGCCGACCTTATATATAGGACCCACCAACTGACGGAGTTAGTTCAGTCCTCTTGTCATACAGTCCACATCCTTTGAGTGACACTCGTCACCTGTTACTTATACTTAATTTATCTGTGTTGTTCCTGTCGCCACCAATGTGGTATATCTATGTGAGTACCTATTTATGTCTCTATTTATGTCCATCAGTATTTGCTTCGTTACATTTAAGTAATTCAGTGTTGTTTCACGTTAGTTAATTTCAGTGTTAGTTTTTATATGTTTATGCAGTGTTAACGTAATCCAATGCTTTATTTTTATTCTTTTGATGTTTCGATGTTTAGTATCATTTGTGTCTTAAAAGTTTCGATGGTGAATCAATTTGTTGTGACAGCCTACGAGGCTCTTTATTGTGTTAATATTTAATTAATTAATTCTTAAAGGTTTACTTTATTTATTTTTATTCCCTTTTAATTTACTTCACTTTTTTTTGTTTGGTTACGCCTAGAACCTGGATATTTAAGTAAATTAAGAGATTTCATGTAACAGGGTGGGGGTGTGGGTGGGTGTGGGTGGGTGGGTGGGTGTGGGTGTGTGGGTGTACAGTATTTACAAAGATCATGTTTCATTCCTCGCCTTCTGGATGTGCTTCGGGTATCATAGCTCACACAAGGGGTAATGAGGTTACCTGTCAAAGGAGGTTCAGCTGAGGGCTTTACAGTGCTGTGTGGTCGTACAGGTGTTAACAGTGACTCTCTATTATACATTCCAGAAGTGCGAGGGAGAGACAAGAGATAAGAGAGAGATATATATGTACACAGTCTCTCCGTCTCTGGCAAAGCGGCAAAATAGGCCGATGTTAAAAAGCTACCCAGAACACAAAATAAGCTGATGTTCTGATGTTAAAAAGCTACCACGAACGGGATCACGACCTTATTATTTTTTTATAGAGGACGAAAACCACTCTTACTTATCCTCATCTATGATAAATATTACTTTAGGAGCGTTGTGTTTTGGTTAAGTTAAGTTCATTTAGATTAGGTTAGGTTAGTTTAAGTTAATTTAGGTGAGGTTAAGTTACTTTAAATTAGATTAGATTAGGTTAAGTTAGGTTCTAATCATCTGCTTTATACACAAAAAAAAATAATGGTTTAGCGATCCTGTTCAGAGGTTTGACTATATCTGGCAACACTGACAGCATTCCCGGATGGTGTTATTTACAAACTGTTTACACTATACACACACTATATATACTCTATATACACACCACACATACACTATATATATACACTACACATTATTCTACACCAATCTTATGTACAATCCCCTTCACTACTGCATTTACAGGGGCTCGTCATATAAACATTCCACAAATCATTACAATGAGATATTTATTTTAATATTGTTTTACTTTCATTCCATAATATGTTTACTAATGTGAGTTTCCTTCTGTCGAATGTAAACAAACACAGGGTTACCACACTGACGAGCCCCTGTAAACGCACAAGTGAAGGAGACTGTACAACTAGTGACAGGGAAGAGGTTCATATTTCTGCCCCTATGTTACTTCCTGAATGATTGTCCGTCTGTATCTTGATCAGTTACAGGTACAGTTACAGGTTAATTATCTCCTAGTTCCAATAGCTACCAGTCCTAATAGGCCCCAACCAAAGTCACACCTGTCTGGGCTCATTTACATTGGAGTCCAGTAAATTTAGACCCCATCAAGACTATAAGAGTGAGGGCTATTATGACTGAATCTCAAGCTTAATGGTTAGGATGGCCAGATTGGGGTTAGATTAGGTTAAATAGATTAGGTTACTTGGTTTGGTTACGTTAGGTTTAGATTCAGGGTTAGTCTGGTTTAGGTTAGGCTTGGTTTAGGTTAGGCTTTGTTAGGTTTATAGTTAGTTTGGCTTGGCTTGGTTTGGCTAGCTTGGTTTGGTTTGGTTAGGTTTGGTTTGCTCTATGTTACTTTGCGTTAGGTTTTGCTAGGTTAGGTTTGGTTTAGGTTTGGTTTAGGTTAGGTTTGGTTTAGGTTAGGTTTGGTTTAGGTTAGGTTAGGTTTGGTTTGGTTTAGGTTAGGTTTGGTTTAGGTTAGGTTAGGTTTGGCTTGGTTTGGGTTACTTTGCGTTAGGTTTTGGTTAGGTTAGGTTAGGGTGGGGCCCGTGAGGACTAGAGGGACCTTAATGGTGATTCCTTAACACTTAATTCAACCCTAAATCGTAAACATAACTGATCTAAATTCAGACAGACGACCATAGTAGTATAACATTATTCTAATGATGTTATTTACAACCTCAAGAAAGCATTAATTTTCAGCATATAAAACAACTCGCTATCTAATACATGCAATTAAAGCACTCACACAGATGCCAGTGACACTAAGAAATGAGGCACTTACTCTGGCACTTACTCTGGCACTTACTCTGGCACTTAAATACGAGCCGGTGATGGGTGGCACTTATCACACTTACCCAGACTAACATAGGTACTATCTCTCACCATCATCTAACCTAACCTAACTCTCACCATCAATTAACCTAACCTAACCTAACTCAGCATTACTTAACCTAACCAAACCTAACTCACCATTACTTAACCTAACCTAACTCACCATCAACTAACCTAACCTAACCTATCCTAACCTAACTCACCATCAATTAACCTAACCTAACCTAACTTAACTCGCCATCACCTAACCTAACTCTCCCCGTTACTTAATCTCTAGTTATGAGAACTATATTTAATGTGTTAATGAAAGGGAAAAAATTATTATTGATTGTGTTTTTTTTTTAAGTCTCTCCTCCCTCTCCTTCTCTATTTTCGTATTTATTATTCTCTCTTTTCTCATCTTTCTTCCTTTCTATCTCAATTCCCTTCCCTCTTTTGTTTTCTATTTCCTCTCCTCTCCTCTCCTCTATCTCATATCCCCTCACTCCTTCCCATCATCAATAAATTCCCATACCACATCACCTCTCAGCATTACAAAACACATCTACAGATACAAAAAAAAGCAAAAACACTACAAAAAACCAACAAACACACTACAGAAACAACAAAACTCACACACACCTCCACACACCTAGTTCAGCTAATCAAACTTACCTGCGGAGGGAGAGGGAACGGGTCACAGTTTCCCATTTTCTGCCACTGGCGTTTCTTGGTCCGGTAAAAGAAAACGGATCCGGCCACGGCAGCACAAAGCAGCACCAGCAGCGTCAGTACCGCGGCGATCACCGTTGAGGTTGGAGTACACACGTAGTCGTCCGCTACATAGGTGTCTGTTGAGATGCCGGTGGCGGGGGTGAGGGTGTTATGGTCTTATGCCCTGGGTGGTGTATGCCCTGGGGAGATTGTTAATATGCCTTGGGGAGATTATTAGTATGCCCTGGGGAGATTGTTAATATGCCTTGGGGAGATTATTAGTATGCCCTGGGGAGATTGTTAATATGCCTTGGGGAGATTATTAGTATGCCCTGGGGAGATTGTTAATATGCCTTGGGGAGATTATTAGTATGCCCAGGGGAGATATGCTGACAAATTATACTTCTATTATGCCTCATGATTGTATGTATCTACAGTATGTACACAACTGGATAGGATTGGATAGGATATACTCACCATCCCTGTAGCGGTGTCTGTGTCTATCGTCCCATCCTTCGGGCATCGTGTCTTCTCCTACCACCAGCTGAGGATAGGGGATAGGGGTGGTTAGAGAAGGAGGGAAGGATGTTGGTTGGTATCCTATCCTTATCATATCCTATCCTAGTACCAGGGAAGGTATAGGGTAGTAGTGGGTAGAGAAGGATAGGAGGGAATGTCGTTGTGAGTGAAGAATAAGAAGGGGGGTAGTAGTTGTGGTTGTTGTGGTAATAGTGGTAGTAGTGAGGCTATCTTCATTTTAAAATACTCTTTCAATAACTGCTTTGTTAAATTACGCTATTATACCTCTAGTATCAGAGAGACGTACAGACAGACAGACAGAACGGACAGACAGACAGATAGATAGACAGAACGGACAGACAGTAGATCATTGTTTATTGTACCTTGGCTGGTTCTCCAATAGTAAGCTATAGGAGAGAAGAGAAGTTATCACTGGTCTAATAATAATAATAACAATAATAACAATAATAACAATAATAACAATAATAACAATAATAACAATAATAATAATAATAATAATAATAACAATAATAACAATAATAATAATAATAATAAAAGGTAAAGGTGAGATACGAGGAAAATACACACACACACAATAACAAAATTGGATAAACAAGACAAAGACAGACAGAAATTCAAGAAAGGTAGAGAGAGAGAGAGAGAGAGAGAGAGAGAGAGAGAGAGAGAGAGAGAGACACGAAGAAACAGAAAGAGCGAGACAGAGACACAGAGAGAGACAAGACACACAAATAGACAGGACACACAGACAGATAGGACATACAGACAGGACAGACAGACAGGACACATACAGACAGATAGGACATACAGACAGATAGGACATACAGACAGATGCACATACAGACACGACATAGAGCATACAGACAGGACACATAAACAGACAGGACAGACAGACAGACAGAACACAGATAGACAGAACAGACAGACACGACATACATACAGACAGGACAGACAGACTCCAGACAGATAGACAGAGAAAAACAAACACCTTGATGGTATACCTTGGTTTGGTGTCCAACTGTGAGCTATGAGGAACACAGAGAATAAATCACTGTATTACGAGACGAGGAAATGACCACAGGAACCAGAAACTTGACTCAATCACACGACAAAAGCTCCAGAAGGTTCATTAAGACAGTTTCAGAGTAAGATTGGAACTTGGAACTTTGATCTAGCTTAATCTAACCTAACCTAACCTACTAGTCTTAATCTAACTTAACCTAACACCGGAAAACCTAACCTAACGTTACGAGTCTTCACCTAACCTAACTTAACCTAAGATATTATTCCTTAACCTAACCTAACCTAACGCTACAAGTCTTAATCTAACCTAACCTAACGTAATCCTAACCAAAAAGCAACATGTCAAACAATCTTACCGAGAGAGCAACAGGGATATCACTGGGCATCTCTTCCTCTGTTTTCTTTTTCTTATCTTTGCTTGATTCCTTCTTCATGGTGGGGATGGTGGTAGGGGTGGTGGTAGTGGTGGTAGTAGTGGTGGTGGTGGTGGTGCTGTTGGTCGTGGTGCTGGAGGTGGTGCTGACGGAGCGCTTGGTTGTTCTGTGTGGTTAGGTTAGGTTAGGTTAGGTCATAAGAGGGAGGTACAGTATTATGGAAATATTTTTTTTACGTTGATTTTATTCACTTAGAGGCAATAATAATAATAAAAATAAAAATAATAATAATAATAATAATAATAATAATAATAATAATAATACCCACTATGAAAGTTCACCTGTAACACCCACCCCATTATCACCTGTTAGATCACCTGAGATAAACACAATCAAGTCGCCAGGTACTCACTTGGGACGGGAGGAAGGAGAAGACCCGAGATAATTATCAATGGGATCAAAACCAAACGCCACTGTTTGTTCAATCACATTCTCCGTCGAGGTGTCGTACTCATTCGCCTCCGTCTGGTCGCCATCTTCGCCTTCGTCAGTTTCGTTGGTTGATCTTCTGCGGCGCCGACCGTATGATATTACTCCTGCACCACACGATACCTGTTTTGGAAGGGGTGAGGGGAGGGGTGAGGGGTGAGGGGAGGGGTGAGGGGTAAGGGGAGGGGAGGGAGATAAAGAGTTAAGTGGTGTTTATTTATTTGATGTTAGGGGAAAAAAAAAGGTTGATGTCTCATTAATTGAATAGGGTATGTGTGACAGGTTGGATTACACACACACACACACACACACACACACACACACACACACACACAGAACAATGGTACTTTAAATATCACCAATACTACCCCTTTAAAAACACAATGAGTCCACCCCTTTCCCCCTCGTTTTGACTCTAATTATATACAGGTAAACTTCATCACGGGGTCCATACCGGTTCACATAGGTCTTGACAAAATCTGACCGTGGCGACGAAGTTGACCCTGGCTGTGGAGGGGAACCTGAAGGCCTTGAAGTTCCCGTAGAGGCTCTTGGTTCTCTCCTCCAGTAGCAGCTCCGGGAAGATGGACGGGTAGCGTGGACACCTGCCGAGGGAAGGACAGGTGTGGTAGGTGTGGGAGGTGGCAGGTGTGGGAAATGTGACGTGTGACAGTAGCAGGAAATGGGTGTGTAGACTGAGAGGAGGAGGAAGAGGTGTGGTGACGGGAACAGCAGAGGAGGAAGTGAGTGTGTGTACTAAGAAGTGTAGGAAGAGGTGTGGTTACAGTAGAGGTGTACTGTATTTAATGACAGGATGAGGAAGTGTAGTGGATGTTAACAGCAAAGTGAGGCGATGATTGTTGTGGTAGTTTCATAGAGGAACAGACACGAGTACACCATCATCATCACCATCATCATCATCACCATCATCACCATCGTCACCATCATCACCATCATCATCACCATCATCACCATCACCATCATCACCATCGTCACCATCATCACCATCATCATCACCATCATCACCATCACCATCATCACCATCGTCACCATCATCACCATCGTCACCATCACCATCATCACCATCATCACCATCGTCACCATCATCACCATCAGAGGACACTTTTTCCATCTCTTCCTCCTTCCCTCTCTCTCTTTCTCTCTCCTTCGCCACCCCTTCCTTCCTCTGTATATCTCTCTACTTCCTTCTCTCTGTCTATCTTTTCCCACCCCTTTCCCCCTCTCTCTCCCTCCCTTCCCCCTTCCCTCCCTGCTCTCCCTCTCTCCCTCCCTCCCTCGCCACTTCCTCGCCACTCACCCAATATTATCAACCAACGTCATGAGCTCGCCATTATCCGTCCTCGCCTCCAAGTTCCTGGCGAATATGGCGAACGCTGACGACTGCTCCATCTCTATCTTAAGTGTCAGCAGCTCGCCAAGGTCCACGTTATTCGCCTCTGTGCCGGTCGACTTGTAGATGCGCATGCGGACTGTGGGCGTGGGCGCGGTGTTGCTGATGATGTCATTCACCCCAGGCCGGAACTGCGCACTGTAGGGTTACCAGAGTTAATGGGTGGGTGTAGTAGTTAAGGGGTGTGGGTTTGTGGGTGTTAGTTAAAGGGTGTGGGTGTGTGTGTTAATTAAGGGGTGTCAGTGTGTGGGTGTTAGTTAAGGGGTGTGGATGTGTGGGTGTTAGTTAAGGATGTGTGGGTGTTAGTTTAGGGGTTTGGGTGTTAGTTAAGGGGTGTGGGTGTTGTTAAGCAGTTAAGTGTGTTAGTTAAGGGTTGGTGTTAGTTAAGGGGTGTGGGTGTTAGTTAAAGGGTGTGTGGGTGTTAGTTAAGGAGGTGTGGGTGTGTGGGTGTTAGTTAAGGGGTGTGGGTGTTAGTTAAGGGGTGTGGGTGTTAGTTAAGGGTGTGTGGGTGTTAGTTAAAGGGTGTGTGGTATATGGTAGGGAGATATCAAGTAGAATTTGGAGATATTACATATAATATACAATACCATCACGTGTTGAACAGAGCTGTACATGCAAGTGAGAATAATAATAATGATAATAATAATAATAATACTTTCTTTAGCTGTGCATGCGTGCTAAACATAACATACAGTATTTAGCTTTCTCAAAATATATATATATATATATATTAAGCTATTTAAAAAATCAGTGATATAATACATTGTGACAGGTATTATTGACAAATTATCAAAACCAAAAATAAAACCCGCAAACACCAAGTAAATGAAGGGGGAAAAATCAAAACAAAACCACATTAACGAAAGTAAAACCGAATTCAAACAATAGATGAAAGTATATGGTTTAAGGACAACATGTAAAACGAATATATAAAAACCATTTAAACCGCAGATGAGAACTAAGTCAAAAACCACATTAAAACCAAAATAATAATAAACCCAGAAACGATGACTTTATAAACCGGTATAAAGGAGGAATGACACCCTGAAATAAAACCACAGGAAGTAAACCCCAAAAAACAAAACCGATTAACCAAAAACGACAATAATCGAAGTGACGAACCAAAACCGCAAAAAAAAAGCCAAACCGAAAAAAAGGGAAACAGATGAAAAGAAACAAAATAAGAGAGACAAAAAAAATAAAAGACCACAAAAACAAAACAAGAAAACAATTACCAAAACTGAACAATTGACAAGAGAACTAAGAGAGAAATACCAGAGTGACGTAAAGCATAAACAAAGCTTTGGTGAGTGGCACATGCGGAGACGGTCGGTGATTGGTGTTCTCTCTTTCTCTCTCTATCTCTCTTTTTTTTATCTCTGTCTCTCTCTCTCTCTCTCTCTCTCTCTCTCTCTCTCTCTCTCTCTCTCTCTCTCTCTCTCTCTCTCTCCTACCTCGACACATTGAAGAGCCTCTTTTGAAAGCCAGTGATGAAGTTGGTCACAATCTCGTAATCACCGCTGAGCGAACGAGGAGACAGACAGAAGGAGAGAATAAAGAGGGGGAGTTAACGAGACAGTGGTGATGTGCCTTGTCCGTTTCCTCTCCCAACATATGGAAACGAACGAGTTCTAAGCCGTAGCCAGCCAGCCAGCGTTGCCGTCTGACTACTGACCAAAAACACTACCGCAGTTTATTCAGTTATAGAGGACTGATTATATTTCATCAGCTATCATCCACACCTGTAAATAACTAGTAATTATACCCATACAGGTGGGGGGGGGGGGTGTTTATGACCCAGCATTATTAATTAGGTCTTATCAATGTTATAGAGAGTCCATTTGTTCAGAATAATGTCATACTGGTCTCTGATAACATTGAAGAAAGAGTGTAACATCCCGATTAGGTTAGGTTAGGGTGACAATTATAATTATTACAAACTATTTTTTCTCATTATTACTTTTGTGATTATAACACACACACACACACACACACACACACACACACACACACACACACACACACCCAAAAAAAGTATCTTTACGATTTTGTGTAAGACATTATGACACAATGGATGAAGGATTTTGACAACCCTACCGAGACAACAGGAGTCACAGTGTTCATTCTGGAATTGATCGGCTCCCTCCGTGAAGATACTTTTTTGGGGGCTGGTGTAAACTAATGATATATTCTGAATAATGAAAAAAAATAAATATTAAAAATGAGTTATAGATTTCTAAGTCAAAAAGTGAGATTAAAGTTAGATAGTTAATTTAATTTATATTTTCGTGTCAAGTATTAGGGAATATTTTATCTTGTTTTGTGAATTTTACATCATTGAGAAAGTAATTAAGGATGAGTAATGAAATTGAGTATAGTCGGGGTAACATTAAATTAACAATATGTATTAAATCCTCTATTTTAATCACTTGTATTAGATCCACCAATCACTGTTATTGTAGGAAATGACAATGAGAGTAAATATTTAAAATGACGAGTGTGATTGACAAGGTTGGAAAGGCTTTTATTAATATATGATTTACCCAGAGTAATTTACATATGAATAAGACTTCTAAATAATGTACTTAAACTCTCTGGAGATTCACAAAAACATGCATTAGGGTCTTGTATCTGATTGGTTATTAAAGGATCTGAATATATCTCGTGATTGGTCGAATGAGATTAGCACCTACAGTTGATTGGGTCGTTGATTTAAGATTAGTGGAAAAAGATTCGTGGCCTAAAGATGATTGGTTAAGCTAGTATAGTAACTTTTAATTGATTATCAGAAAGATATCAACACCTGGATTTAATTAGGAGAGAAATTAACACCTGTATTCGATTAGTTAAAAAAAAAACCTTACCATATTCACTTAATTATTAGAGAGATTAGTTAAACTATATCAAAACCTACAATTAATTACTAGGAAGACTAACACCTGTACCAGATTAATTAAAAGATCTTCAAAATAACCTTAACAGAATCACATACTGTAGAAGCCGCGTCAGGTAGACAACCAACCCACCCACACACACCACCTGTTAACTCACTTGATATCAATCCCTCCACCCGTCCTGCCAGCCCCAGCCTCAGGAGCATAGCTGACGGTCTGGTCCCCGGCCTCAAAGGAGCATTCGACCCTCACCGTCCTGTCTGACTCCTGCATGATGAGTGGGTGTTGCTGTACCACCACTGTATTGACGAATTTGCCGTCTCCCTGTGGGTATGAGAAGGTTTTGGAGGGTTAGTGGTGCTAGTTGGAGGGTTTTGGAGGGTTAGTGGTGCTAGTTGGAGGGTTTTGGAGGGTTAGTGGTGCTAGTTGGAGGGTTTTGGAGGGTTAGTGGTGCTAGTTGGAGGGTTTGGAGGGTTAGTGGTGCTAGTTGGAGGGTTTTGGAGGTTAGTGGTGCTAGTTGGAGGGTTTTGGAGGGTTAGTGGTGCTAGTTGGAGGGTTTTGGAGGGTTAGTGGTGCTAGTTGGAGGGTTTTGGAGGGTTAGTGGTGCTAGTTGGAGGGTTTTGGAGGGTTAGTGGTGCTAGTTGGTGGGTTTTGGAGGTTAGTGGTGCTAGTTGGAGGGTTTTGGGGTTAGTGGTGCTAGTTGGAGGTTTGGAGGTTAGTGGTGCTAGTTGAGGTTGGGTAGTTGGAGGGTTGGGCAGTTAGGTTGAGGTTTAGTGAGTTTGGGTGTGCAGTTGGTGGTTTGGAGGTAGTGGTGCGTTGGAGCGTTTTACAGGGTTAGGATAGATGATAGCTTTATGTTGGTGTGGACGAGGTTACTATCCCTCTGTGAATTGGAGAGTAGGATGAAGGAGGGATAGAGGGTGGAGACACACACCCACACACACTCACCACACACACACCACTCACACACACACACACACACACACACACACACACACACACACAACACACACACACACACAAAGACTACCTCTAGTGCCACAGGTTGACCCTAGGGAACTCGAAGAATCAATTGTGTCTGTCTGTTGCCCATCTCTCAAAGCAGGCCTGGGCGTTCCCTGTGGCGTACACCCGTCCTTCGAAGGGCGTGCCGAAGGCGAAGGTCACCAGCATATCCGTGGGCGTGCAGTCGACCTTTACTGTGAGCGGGGGAGAGGGCGGTGTGAGGTCAAAGGTCAAAGGAGTGAGAGAGATATATATTTAGGGGGAGGGGAAGAAACGTGACGTAAATAACATACAAGAAAAGATGAAAATAGAGAAGAATAAACATGAAATTATAGACAGAGAAACAGACAATCAGACAAACAATGATACACAAAGAAACAGACAGACAAACAGAAACAATTACAGAGATATTAAGACATACATTACTACAAAAGACAGGAGACTTCAACACGACCTAGAGTACCAAGCTGAGGAGACTTCAACACGACCAAGAGTACCAAGCTGAGGAGACTTCAACATGACCAAGAGTACCAAGCTGAGGGCCGTAGTCTTGCTCATAGTGTTACTGAAGGTTTAGGGTTTATGGGATCTGTTTCAATGGGTAACTTAAGCAAATTCTGGGATATTTTTCAATGGGTAACTCCAGCTATTTCTGGGATATTTTTCAATGGGTAACTCAAGCTATTTCTGGGACATTTCAATGGGTAACTCAAGCTATTTCTGGATATTTTAACTGGCTGACTAAACTAAGCCTGTTTCAAGGGATCTATTTCAGTGATAAGTTAAAGCCATATAATGAGATCTTTTCATTGAGTGATTGAAATCTATATCAAGAGATTTTTTTTTCGATATTATAAAGTACAATCACATTCTCCTTCCTGTTCTCCTTCCCCATCCTCTGTTCCTCCTCCCTGTCCCCACTTCCTACCGCTACACAGACATACGCACTTACCAGTCTTGCAGGCGCCCTTCTCTGAGTAGAAATAGTCTCGCTCCACCTGTAGGGCGCTCTGGCCACCCACGCTGAAGGTGTCATCTGAACTGAGCGAACACTCACGCCTGAACGACTGTCCGGAGGAAGAGCAAAATAAGTCTACGTAATGAAGATGATGAGGTTTGGTTTTGTTTGCCTTGTTGATGTTAGGTTAGGTTACTTGGTGCTATTTTTAGGTTTGGTTTTGCTTATATTCTAGTGCTGTTGCTACACTGCATACTAAACCTCAAAACAATCAGCTGACTGGAACAACCTGGAAGTTGTAGCTCTGAGGTGAAGTCCCTTGCTGTGCAGTATTGTTTTAATCTGTCGAAGACATTGGTGAAGGGGTCGAAGAAGGAAGGAACCGACTCGTAGTTGGCGTAGTCGCAGTTGGGGGGATCTGGGGAGGAAGAAGGGGGGTGAGAGGGAGGAGGGAGGAGTTGAGGGTAGTGTAGAAGAGGAGGAGGAGAAGGGTAGTGGGGAGAGTTGGAGGAAGAGAAAAGGGGAAGAGGATGAGGAGGGGTAGTGAAGAAGCGGAGGAGAAGAAGAGGTAGCGAGGAAGGAAGGATGAGAAAGGAAAAGGTAGAGATTTTAGATAAATTTCAATTACATACATACATACATACCTGGAGCACACTGATTCTCCATAAACTCATCGTTCCTGGAACTTAAGGTGAACTTGTCCGGATCCGTGCGTCTTGTCTCCGCCATCAGTTTACACGTTCGATCTCTGACGTTATACACGGCCGACCTGAATAACGAGATACAGTAATTTAAATCATTGACGAATTATAGTGAGTCAAGTTTATTGTAGTATATAGTCCAGCCTGGTTACAAAAAAATTGTATTATGACGACTTTTTTTTTCACAAGTTTAAAATTGAGGTTTTGTGTGTTTTTTTTTATTATTCTTTGTTTGTTTGTTTGTTTGTTTGTTTGTTTGTTTGTTTGTCTGTTTGTTTGTATGTGTGTAGGAATCTCTCTCTGTCTCTCTCTAATGACACACTTTAAGAACGGTGACACAAATGCCACACTTATCCTAGAACACTGACTGTACGTATCTTAGGAATAGTGCTATACCATACCTGCAGGGGATACCGGTGGCTCTAAGGCACTCCGCTTGGCACTCTTCTCGTGTAGGGATGTTGGTCACGATCCTCCCGTTCACTGTGAGGTCATACCCTGGCACTCTTACGAACGTCCAAGCCTTCCCGCAGCCCCGTTCTGTGAGAGGGAGGGAGGGAGAGGGGGTGTGGTTAGTGGAGGGTGAGGGAGGGAAGGAGGGAGGGAGGGTGGTTAGTGGGGGTGTGGAGGGGGGTGAGGGGAGGAGGGAGGAGGGTGGTTAGTGGGGGTGGGAGGGTGAGGGAGGGAAGGAGGGTGAGGGAGGGAAGGAGGGAGGGAGGGTGGTTAGTGGGGGTGTGGAGGGAAGGAGAGAGGGTGGTGAATGGGGTGAGAGATAATGAGATAATAGGAAGATAGAAAGATCAAGAGAGTTAAGAGTTAGGGAGATACAAAAGACAGAGAGAGCGAGAGAGAGAAGGAAGTAAATGGATTAGAGAGAATGAGAGGCTGAAGGGAGTGAAAAGAGAGAGGGGGGGATAAAAAGAAGGAAAATGGAGAGAGAGAAAAAAAGAGTAGGAAAGGGGAGTGAAAAGGAAGGAAAACTGAGGGAAAGAGAGAGAGAGAAAAGAGAGAGAGAGGGGAGGGGGGGGTGCTACACTCACCTGGTATGCAGACCTTCTCGAAGTAAGACACCTGCGGGGAGGAGGTGAGTGCCCCGGGGTCATTGCCTGCCGCCCGTTCAAGAGCATAACACCTCTGGGCCGTGGAGGGAGACGTCTCGAGGGTGACAGCCAAACACCTGTCCTGCCGACGGTCACACTCCTTCAGGCACTCGATGGTGATGCCCAGCTGATCTCTGGCACGGATTTCCTCCCTGGGTAGATGAGTGACGGAGAATGAGTGACGGAGAATGAGTGTGAGGGAGAGTGAGAGAAGAGTAATTATTATGGTCTTTATTGAATTATTATGAAAATCTATAATCACCGATAATTTTTTTTTCTATATCACCTTAAAATATAAATAATGTTTTTACTTTGAAATGAAATATGATAAATAATGAATAAGAGAACGTAAAGTATTATACATCATGCATTATACACCAGCCGTCATGCATAAAGCTCTTGTTAAGACCACATTTAATGGTAATTAATCATCTAAGAGCTGATACTAGAACTAATATTTATCTATAATTCGTCTCTAATTTATATCTAAGTGTAATGATTAGATTATAGTTACTCGTCTACTTATCAGATTATAGTAGAGTTAACATTATATTAAATTATACTATAGTAGGTTATACCGTGTTTATATTATATTTACTTAGGCTATATTGATTTATAATTTATATATAATAGAATTAAAACTACCATAAAGTACTAAGGAGTTATAGGGAATCACATGAAGATTAGCCCCCGTTTATCATAGCTTATTTTACCTGATAATTAAATATCCTTACGCTACCTGGGGGTTGGTAGGTCAGGTCAGGTCAGGTTAGGTTAACATTATGAGAGTTAAAATTAAATTACAATAAGCTGGGGGATAATCTTCATATGATCCTTTATGTAAATTAACAACTATTACTTTCTACGTCACTAAGCTATTTAATATACCCAATCCACTTTACTTCTGCATCAACACACACACCCACACACACACCCCAGGCCTTCAGGTAACAAGAGCACCTGAATGTGGTATTTGCCTCCCCCATTATTAACTACGGTTTATATAATGTTTAGGTTAACACATTTAAATCCTTGTGTCCAGCCAGTGAGTTATATATTTATTGTCGCTTTTATTTATTCCTACGACTATTTTTTTTTTTAATGAGAGCGTGAGTGAGGCCAAGAAATATACGTATCGGGTAAGTTGCTACTAAATTTAACGTACTTTGAGAATTTTAAAGACTAATGGTATAAATTTAGTGTTTATTTCTACTCATTTATTTATTTTGTTATACTTTTATTTTTATCTACTAATTCAATTATTATTTATTTATTTATAGTTTATTCTACGTATTTATTTTTTTATGTATTCATGCGCGACGTCCAGGGAAGTGAGACGTCTGAGCGTGTTGTCATTTCGCTCTTGGCCGCTCAGTTCCTACCAAAAGCTCTGTATCCTGCGTCCCGTGATCTCATATTTGGTGTAGGAACTCTCTCCCCCAGCTGGAGGTAAATAGGACCCCAACACACTGGGACCCCGAGACCTCCACGGTTCTCTGCCTGTGTAGGTTAACTGGGGAGGGAGGCCATAGGTCCCCCATGGTGGCTGGATCTGTGGCCACTGATTGGTGGGAGGCCTGTTGACGTCAGGCCTGTTGACGTCAGGCCTGTTGACGTCAGGCCTGTTGACGTCTGGCCTGTGTGACGTCAAAACCCCGCTCATCATTTCTCAGATTATTATAGGAATTATCATACTTCTTGCATAACCTGAACTGCAGATACATATTAATCTAGTTTTAACTTTGAAAATCTAATGGTAACTTGCTAACTATCCTACCTAGAAAGAGAACTGTGATAAGAATATGTAGAAAATACACTAGTAAACGTACAGACAACAAGGAATCTTAACAAAAAAAATCATTATCGTACCCACAGTTCAGATCACTTATTGACATCTATGAGGTCCTACCTGGAGAAGACCTAAGGCATCTTATATACAGAAGGAGAAATTAAGATTCACCTGAAGATTAGACACCCCCAGTTTATTTCACCTGGGAGGGTTGGGTTAGGTTAGGTTTGGTTAGGTTTGGTTAGGTTAGGTTTGGTTAGGTTGGGTTTGGTTAGGTTAGGTTAGGTTAGGTTGGGTTAGGTTAAGTTAGGTTAGGTTAGGTTAGCGATGAGGTGTTTAATCGTCAGGTTAATTCTTCTGGGGTGTCTAATCTTCACGTGACCCTGAGATGAATATTACGGAAGGTTAAATTACAAAAAAGGAAAATAAACAAACGTAGATTAAGAGAGAATACGAACGGATAAGATGATAAGAAGTCCCGTAGGATTGGCCGAGACACTAGCCAATAGGAAGTAATCAATACACTGATAAGTTGAAATTAACCAATAAGAATCAGAAGAAGCTTGTGGTAGATTCTTGCCAATGGAAATAGGGGAAGGTTTGGATCTTGACCAATTGGAAGAGGAGAGGGTTAGATCCTAAACCAATAGGAAAAGGAGAAGCCTAAGACTTGACCAATAAGAAGAGTGAAAGCCTAAAAACTGACCAATAAGAAGAGTGAAAGCCTAAAAACTGACCAATAAGAAGAGTGAAAGCCTAAAAACTGACCAATAAGAAGAGTGAAAGCCTAAAAACTGACCAATCAAAAAAGGAAGAGGTTTAAAACATGATCAATCAGAACGAAGGATACTAAAATAAGTAACCAATTAGGGGAGAGATGACCTTACCTGGCCCCGCGAAGGTCAACGCCCATGATCTTGTCGTAGGTGGGGTTGAAGCGGCAGGTGGCCACTGTAGGGGGACACCATTGTTAGTTTGTTTAGATAATTAGATAGTTAGTTAGGTAGTTGGGTAGTTAGTTGGGTAGTTAGATAGTTTGAGGTCATGCTTAGTTCGGTGGCGTTTATGAGTTTGGATAATATGGGACTCTAATGGGTTATTTAATCCAGATTATATCGAGTTGGATTAAGCAGGATGATGACTTATTCCCGATTATTTAGATTAATTACAGGGTCATTTATAACCTCGATTATATAGGTCAATTATTCAGAGTTGAATATAATTTATGGATTTTCCTGGATAATCTTAATACTGGATTATCCGATTATCTTGGAAAATGTAGAATCATCAACTAATCGACCGAGCATTAGGGATTAGCCCGAGGGTTTGGATTAGTTGTTAATTGAATTGATGATTAATTATAGTTCACATATTAGTTACGTTTAATTTGTAAGTCTGAACTTCCGTTTATTTAATCTATATTTAATTTACACTAAGCTTAAAGGTGAGGATTAATTAGCTAATCCTCTTAAGTAATTAATTCTGATACCATATCTCATTCCAATAATTATATATACCTTACCTGTCTTCTTTACTAATTACCTAACTAATTATTCTTAACCTGGACTTAGCTAATCACATCTTAAGAATTAGTTAAGAGTTGGCTTGATTAGTTAGGTTAGTTAAGAGATAAAGGTAATACCATTTGAGTTAGTTAGCTACAAAACTAATCATGGACAACTACACACTACAAACTAGTCTGGGGTTAGTTGACAAAATTAGCTTAACTAGAGTCAAGCTTGTGTTAGTTAAATTCAGGGTTTATTCTTGGGCATTTGCTGGCACTAAGCTGAGTTATGCTGTATGATTTAAGCTTTTTATATTTTGACTAGCTAATACTGTTTGCTGGCAATTAGTTGAGTTTGTATCTAAGCTTTATGAACAGTAAGCTGAGCATGACATGACATTTGGCTACAATTAGTTGAGATTATCTAAACTTTATGAACAGTAAGCTGAGCATGACATGACATTTGGCTACAATTAGTTGAGTTTGTATCTAAGCTTTATGAATAGTAAGCTGAGCATGACATGACATTTGGCTACAATTAGTTGATCTAAGCTTTAGGCTGATAAGCTTATGATAGCAGCTTAGTTATTAGATTGTATTGCGCTTGCTGTTTAATTAAGGGACATTGTTTTGTATATTGACATTGATCCTGGATTACAGAAAGTCAGGTTAAGTGAGAGAGAAGGAGAGAGCATTGTTTCTCCTCTCTCTCTCTCTCTCTCTCTCTCTCTCTCTCTCTCTCTCTCTCTCTCTCTCTCTCTCTCTCTCTCTCTCTCCCAGATCTGCCATCATGCAAGGGACCTATAACTACGGTACTCTCTATAAGCATAAGCTATCACTCTGTTGCCTGACCTAGACTCTGCCATGCATGACCGTCCGAGAAGAACAAAACAAATGAATAAATGAAAGAAGTAAATTAATACGCAAATAATGAAGAGAGATAATTAAATACGCAAATAAACAAATAATTAAATACAAAAAAATAATTAAATACGCAAATAAACGATAAAATAGTAATTATTTCAATGAGGTGATTAAGTAGAGATAATGTATTTGAATGGAAATAAATTCGTTATGGTTAAAAAAAATCTATAAGAAAATTAGTTAGGTTAATTTGAAGGTATTTGAGTGTATCTTAATTACCTGTAGAGTCTTTGTTATTTAATTGATTTGTTATGATGGTTAAAGGTAATTATAGGTGTAATTATGATGGTTAAAGGTAATTATAGGTGTAATTATGATGGTTAAAGGTAATTATAGGTGTAATTATGATGGTTAAAGGTAATTATAGGTGTAATTAAAGTTAAAGTTGTATGATATCATGTCACTATAATTTAACATACGGTCACCTATTTGGTAATTAACTCTATATATTATTTTAACATCATTAACATGCTAGTTAGTGTGGTAGTTAACTTCTGTATGTACACTGATCGATAATTATAAATGGTTCGAACGGTGTGTCTCTGGATTGTTAGACGAGTGATGTAACCACTCCGCCACAGATGGTTGATAATAATGCTACTACAGTGAAACCTCCATATAAGGGAATTTCATCTCTATATAGCGCGTTAGATGGGACTTCCACATCTAACGGACTCTCGATATAACGAACTTTCCTCTCCATGTAATCCGTTAAACAGAGGTTCCACATCTAACGGACCCTCGATATAACGGACTTTCCTCTCCATGTAATCCGTTAGATAGAGGTTCCATATCTAACGGACCCTCGATATAACGGACTTTCCTCTCCATGTAATCCGTTAGATAGAGGTTCATATACTAGCAACATGCTTCACTACGTCAGTCATTAACTCTGTTCATGGCCACGCATTAATAGTATTTCATTCTCGTCAACAACATGCAAGGGTAAGCAATTGCACTGTCTCTCTCTCTCTTTCTCTCTCTCCATGGCGACAGATTGCAATGTCGTGCACGATTTTTCAACACCTTCTAAGACCAACCTGATTCCCCTTCAGCGTCTTCTAGTGGATCTGAAGGTGAGGAAAGGTGTTAGATTCTTCTTCGTGGGTGTTTTTGTTATTGTCTCAGGTACTTCTATAAGGGGTTGGGTTTGTTGACATGCGTTTTACTATAGGCTACGAGGCTATAAATATTAATAGTGGGGGAAATATATACTGAGGCTTTATATTATTTTATAGGGAGGGAGGGAATATATTTCATTATAATATATATATTTTATGGGGGAAATAATGTAATCTTAATCATGCTTTCGTGGCGTGCGTTCTAGCAGACGTGAAAATCATTTTTTTTCTAGGAGGGGGGGTAGTCAAGGTATAATATCCTAGAAGAAGAAACTACCATATATTGTTCGTCCTAGATATCGCATTCTTTTTTTTATCTAGGATGATAGAGGTTATAGTTTGGTGTAAACTGGTAGGAGGGAGAGATATATTAAAGGTAACATATATGAGGTTTATCAGCCATGCATTCTAGCGTATGTGATAGAGTAGACATTGTTGTTTTTCTCTCGTAACAGCCATTAATGTAATATTTTAAGAGATAGGAACAAGAGAGATAAGGGTTATGGTACTATTGCTATTCCATTCCTTACGTACTGACGCATATATAAACTGTTTCTTTTTCCTTATGGGTAATTTATATTGACAATGTATACAAGTCCTGGAAATACTTATTCTGGATTCGTAATTGTTAATATATACTTTTGTCGATATATAAATTTATAAATATTTGTAAAGATTTATAGTTGCGTTTTAAGGTATATACTTCTATAATTCTACAGATTTATATACTTAGTTTATATACATAGACTTACATAATTGAGAAAATGTACATATTGTCAGAGATTTACTTATATAATTAGGATACATAAATTTAACATACATACTCGCTATTTATATAAACAACAAGACCCATTTTATACGGATATATATATATATATACATCTAGTATTAATAAGGTCTATATATTTACTTTAATACATATTTGTATATCTGTCAAGCTCTTTCAAATGTATATTGTATATACATAAACAGGTAAGCAGAGAGAGAGTGTATATGGGTAGTAGTAGAAGCAAGATTTAACATAGGTAATTAAATCATTATAAATATCAACATACCTCCAGTTGCCGGGTCTACGCCTCCACCACCTGTTGGAGTTTGACAGCGTAAGACATGGTACTGGGGTGTGGGACATGGTACTGGGGGTGTGGGACATGGTACTGGGGTGTGGGACATGGTACTAGGGGTGTGGGACATGGTACTGGGGTATGGGACATGGTACTGGGGGTGTGGACATGGTACTGTGTGGGACATGGTACTAGGGGTGTGGGACATGGTACTGGGGTGTGGGACATGGTACTAGGGGTGTGGGACATGGTACTGGGGTGTGGGACATGGTACTGGGGTGTGGGACATGGTACTGGGGGTGTGGGACATGGTACTGGGGTGTAAGACATGGTGCTTGGGTGTGGGACAAACTGGGACATGGTACTGGGGTGTGGGGCATGGTACTGGGGTGTGGGGCATGGTACTGGGGGTGTGGGACATGGTACTGGGGTGTAAGACATGGCACTGGGGTGTGGGACATGGTACTTGGGTGTGGGACATGGTACTGAGGTGCAAGACATGGTACTGGGGTGTGGGACATGGTACTGGGGGGTGTGGGACATGGTACTGGCGGTGTGGGACATGGTACTGGGGGTGTGGGGCATGGTACTGAGGTGTAAGACATGGTACTGGGGTGTGGGACATGGTACTGGGGGTGTGGGACATGGTACTGGCGGTGTGGGACATAGTACTGGGGTGTAAGACATGGTACTGGGGTGTAAGACATGGTACTGGGGTTTCGAATCATTTCACTGGGGGGTTCAAACTTGGTATTGGTGTTTCGAGTCATGGTATCGGGGTTCAAAATAAGTACATAATAGGGATCGTGTCATGGTACCAGGGGTTCGGTCCTGACTCTAAGAGGTTCAAATTATAGTACCGAGGTTCCGAATCCATCCTATGGGTTTGAAACTCGATAATAGGGTTTCGTTTCATGGTATCAGGGGTTCGAACCAGGCTCTCACTACAGGTAGAGAGCACCTGAAGAGTAAGTTAATTAATTAGTTAAGAAATACAGGTATATGTGACTCACCTGTTCCGCCTCCTCCCGTTGATCCACCGAAGCCTCCAGTTCCTCCACCTCCAAAACCTCCAGTTCCTCCACCTCCAAAACCTCCAGTTCCTCCACCTCCAAAGCTGCCAGTTCCTCCAGTTCCTCCTCCCCCAATACCTCCAGTTCCTCCACCTCCAAACCCGCCGCTTCCTCCACCTCCAAAGCCGCCAGTTCCTCCACTTCCACCACCTCCAAACCCGCCACTTCCTCCACCACCAAAACCTCCAGTTCCTCCACCACCAAAACCTCCAGTTCCTCCACCTCCAAAGCCGCCAGTTCCTCCACCTCCACCTCCAAACCCCCCACTTCCTCCACCTCCTCCTCCTCCTCCCCCTCCAAAACCGCCAGTTCCTCCACCACCTCCAAAACCGCCACTACCCCCTCCTCCTCCAAAGCCGCCAGTTCCTCCACCACCTCCAAAGCCGCCACTACCTCCTCCTCCTCCTCCAAAGCCGCCAGTTCCTCCACCTGTGAGTGCAACAAATTAGTATATATGTATTACTGGTGACTCAGGGCTCTCAACACACAGGTCTTGTTCAGTATATGTCGACAGTCTCTCTGCCAACCATCTCCAGTTATAAGAACAACAATAATAATATACTGTCTTAAGGGATGATTAAAATGTCTTGAAATATAACCATAGACAGGTTTGTTTTGGCTCCGTTACCTGACTTATTGTTCACCTGTCCTGCTTGGTATAGTGAGTGATTGATTAACTGTATTTGATATGTTCCTCTACCATGCATGGGAGGTGTTGATGGTGTCTGGTGGTGGTGTTTATGGTGACTGGTGTTCCTACTGTTATTGTAATCAGTAAAGAAGTCTTGTGTGGAGGGAAGGGGTGTACTGTATATCAATCCCCCTTCCCCCACAATATGGAGATGAATTCAGCTAGACAGAGACAACATCCACACAACCACAACATTACACTGTGGAGAGGCCAAGAGGTTTGTAGCCATAACAGAGACACAAGACTACTGGGTTATAAATTCTACAGTACTTGATCAAACAACACAACAATTTAATCTACATAAGTCAGTCACTTTAAGCAATACTCTACATTAAATTTATTATTTTGATTTATCCCAAATACACTACAAAGATATTAGTTTCTCAATACACTAATTATACTTCAATACAGAATCTACAGGAATATTATATACTGTACTTTTAGGATAACTTTAATAAGCGGTATAAGCTCTTAATTAATCTACATAATACAGTGAAATAATTAACCTTACATAGTGTAGTTCAAACGTGTATTACCAAAGACAGAATATATAGTTTGTATCTCAGTCTAAGATACTGTGAGGGTGTCTTGGGAGTGAGTGAGTGAGTGAGTGAGTGAGAGAGTGAGTGAGAGAGGAAAGATCGTCCCGCCAACTAACAAACACAAGATAAGTGCTCGTGAAAACAGGTGATTGAGTGGCAAGTGAAGAGGATGATATATATCTAAAGAAACGAAAATGGAAGTAAAGAAAGTTATAAAAATATGTACATGATAATAAAGATAATAAATGGAGGAGAATATGAGCTTGTCTTGCCCCGGGTTTGTTTACATTGGCAGAGGAGCCTTTTATTGGTTACCTGTACGTACGTGTAATTAAGGTACTGGAGGCATGTGTTTTTAGGTGGGATAATCTCCAGGTGTAACTTACCTGTCGAAGAATGATTAGAAATGTGATTTACCCACAGAGGAATGACTCCAAGGTTGTGACTTACCTGTGGAGAAGTCGGTACATTCCTTCTCGGCAAACATTGCACCTGTGAGGAACTGGAAGGCATTGTTGCCAACGTTGGACCCCTTGTCACCACTCAGGTAGCATTGGTTGGCATTGGTGTTGCTCTGGTAACAGTGACTAGTATAAGTATCTCCAAGTACGCATGATGTTTCATTGGTCCTTATTCTATCCATCTATCTATCTATCTATCTATCTATCTATCAATAAAAAATGAATATTGTAATTTATTAAAGCTACCTAGCCAATCAATTAACATAAATTAACATAACACATGAGGACTAACATCGCTACTCACGGCGCTCATGAAGGAGTAGGAGCGACAATTAAACTCGCTCTCGATGTCACAAGATCTCCTGCAGGCGGCGTCACTAAAGGCGTTGGTGGCCTTGGTAGTGTAGATGAGGTACCTGTCTCTCTGGTTGTTGGTGTAGGTACAGCCTGTAGCCTCTGTAGGGATGAGAGAAAGAACATAAGAACATAAGAACATAAGGAGTCTGCAATAGGTCGGTTGGCCTGTGCATGGCAGCTCCTGTCGAGAGTTACTACCACTCTCTATCATCCATGAATCTATCTAGCCTCCTTTTGAAACTTTCCAGAGTTCCTGCACTTACTACAAAGTTGCTAAGCTTGTTCCACTCGTCCACCACCCTATTTGTGAACCAGTTTCTTCCTATCTCCCTCCTAAACCTAAACTTATCCAACTTAAATCCGTTGCTCCGAGTCCTATCCTGCTCGGATATTATAAGAACTTTATCTATATCCCCTTTATTGATTCCTTTCACCCACTTAAATACTTCTATCATATCTCCCCGCACTCTTCGTCTTTCTAGGGAATGCAAGTTAAGTTTCTTTAACCTATCCTGATATGGAAGGTTTCTAAGTCCCGGAATCATTTTCGTCATTCTTCGCTGCACCGACTCTAGTGAATTGATATCCATTCTATAATAAGGGCACCAGAACTGAACCGCATAATCGAGGTGCGGCCTGACTAGCGCAAGATATAGTTGCAATAAGACCTCTGCACTCTTGTTACTTACACTTCTAGATATAAAACCCAATACTCTGTTTGCCTTATTTCGAACTTTAACGCACTGTTTTCTAGGCCGTAGGTCCGGGCTTACAAGTACCCCTAGGTCTCTCACAAGTCGACTTCTCTAGGTTGATGTTGTTAAGGCTGTATACATTATAAGTATTTGAATACATTATCAGTATTTATGGAGGGAGGGAGGAGGGTAGGGAGAGGTAGAGGAATGTACCTTTGTAGCCTCTGTAGGAGTGAAAGAGAGGGAGGGAAGGGGTAGAGTACTGGCCCTTTGTAGCCTCTGTAGGAGTGAGAGAGAGGGAGGGAAGGAGGGAGGGGGGGTGGGGGTAGAGTACTGGCCTTGCGCCTCTGTGGGGTGAGAGAGAGAGGGAGGGGGAAGGAGGGAGATTGAGGTGAGTGCTGGCCCTTTGGCCTCTGTGGGAGTGTGAGAGAGAGGGAGGGAAGGAGGAGGAGGGGTGGGGGGTAGAGAGTACTGGCCCTTCCTGGCCTCTGTAGGGAGTGAGGGGGGAGGGAAGGGGGGGGGAGGCGAGGAGTTATGATGAGGCCCTTGTATCGAACACTAAGCAAGAGCACTCACTCAAAAGATTGCCAAGGAGGACTTATCATAGGCATTAATGCATAGATCACAGTTTAATGCACTTACCTTAAACACCTGTCAAGTCACTTAAGTCCAACACACACACTTGTAGTAAATATATTCAGTAGATACACTTCTAAAGACCCTTGGGTGAAAGCAAGGCACGCGACCACTTGCGGGGGGCATAAACCACTTACTAGGGGCATAAACCACTCACTTAGGGCATAAACCACGCACTTGGGGCACAAACCACTCACTTGGGGCACAAACCACTCACACCACTCACTTGGGGCATAAACCACTCACTTGGGGCATAAACCACTCACTAGGGGCATAAACCACTCCCTTGGGGCATAAACCACTCACTAGGGGCATAAACCACTCCCTTGGGGCATAAACCACTCACTTGGGGCACACTGGTTCTCCATGTAGTCAACGTTGGGAGCTGCTTGGAGGGAGTTGGGGGCGGAGAAGCGGTCTTGGTCAGAGAGTCGACACACCCTCTGGCTGTACTCATAGTTGGCAGACCGACACACGTATCTCCTCTCCTCTAGGCACCTCTCCATGCACTCTGCCTTGCTGTTGAGTGAGAGAGATAAAGAGAGACGGTGAGAAACATTGCGGAGAGAGAGAGACGGTAAGAAACATACGGGGGAGAGATATAAACAGAGAGACGTTAGGACAGATAGGAGAGAGAGAGAGAAAGATAGAGACGATCAGAGACAGGGATGAGAGAGAGAGATAAAGAGACGTTGAGACAGATGGGAGAGGGAGAGACAGAGAAAGACGATGAGAGATGCAGGGAAGAGAGAGATAGACAGACATCGAGACAGATAGACAGAGACGGTGAGAGACACAGTAAGGAAAGTGAGAGATGGTAATTTGTTTAAGTCATAGTATATTAGTATTTGGTTTATTAATAGGCAATCTTTATCACACACACACACACACACACACACACACACAACTTACGTAATGCTATTTAATGTTTCTCGTTCTTGACCACTCAGTTCGTAGTTAGGAACCCGCTCAAAGGTCCACCTCAGACCACATCCTCCACCTTGAAGTGAGGAGACAAACAGGTTAGGTTAGGTTAGGTTAGGTTAGGTTAGGTTTGGTTTGGTTGTGTTTGGTTTGGTTTGGTTAGATACAATAGATTTCAAATTAACAAAAACACGCCGCCTTGGCTACTTTGGTTAATACATATTTCATAATGCAGAATCAAACAAACTACAACATATATTAAAGAATTATATTGGTGTAAACTCTGTAAAGTATACAAACACATCGATAGCTCAGTCAGTTAGGAACCTTGTAAGCGCAAACATTCATCCTTGAGGAACTCCACCACCTACTTCTGAGACAGATGCCCTCGAAGTAGCCTACACCGCTGGACGGACGGAGGTTCTGTGGAGCTTCGGTGGCCCGGGTTTCTAGGGAGTAACACTCGAGCCTGTTGTAGTCAAGGTTGAAGGACATACAACTGTTGAGGTTTTTGCAGAGCTCGGAACACCTGGCCGTGATACCTGAAGAGGGAGAGTGGGATGAGGTGTAGATGATGTGGGGTAATAATGAGGGTGGTGATGATGATGATGATGATGATGATGAAGGTGATGATGATGATGATGATGACGATGAAGGTGATGATGATGATGATGAAGGTGATGATGATGATGATGATGATGAAGGTGATGATGATGATGATGATGATGATGATGATGAATATGATGAAGGTGATGATGATGATGATGATGACGATGAAGGTGATGATGATGATGATGAAGGTGATGATGATGATGATGATGACGATGATGATGGATGATGATGATGATGATGAAGGTGATGATGATGATGAATGATGATGATGATGATGATGATGATGATGATGAAGGTGATGATGATGATGATGACGATGAATGATGATGATAATGATGATGATGATGAGAGGTGATGATGATGATGATGATGATGATGATGATGATGATGATGATGATGAAGGTGATGATGCTGATGATGAAGGTGATGATGATGATGATGAAGGTGATGATGATGATGATGACGATGAAGGTGATGATGATAATGATGTTGATGAAGGTGATTGTGTGTATTGTATGACTCATAACAAGTAATCTATTGAAACAAAGTCAGGAAGGCATTTTGTTGTGTGACCTTCAAGGGATGTGACTTTATTTGAAATATCTGTATCATAACCACAATGTTGACTAGAGTGGGATAGATAACTTATTGTTGTTGGGGAAGAAACACAGAATAGGGTGTCGCTAATGCACAACACCTGAGGGTACAACAGGTACTTGGTCGTTATTAGGGGATATTTCTTAAGGGTGACTAAGATCTAGGGTGGGGGGGGGGGGGAAACTTGACGCTGTACTTGACACACGCTAAAGAGCATTTCAGCAGATTTAAAAAACCTTGGAAAGTTCATGAATACATCAGGTATATAACAGAGAACTATACCTGTGCTGTACATGAGTCTTACCTGGCGTCGTCCTGCTGGAGAAGAGAGGCGTTGACTTGACCCCGGAGAGCTCGAAACCCGTAACCTTCTCGTAGGTGAGGCGGCCGAAGCTACAGCGATCTACTTGGAAGGAAAACCCACCTGGAGGAGGTAGCCGACCAGAGCCAGGAACCCCCAGGTCGAACCATTAGTGTGCTACAGGTGCAAGGTGCTCGAGGTGCTGCTAAAGTCAAGGTCACAGAGTTGGTCTTTTGTTTTGCGAAGAAGATAATTGTCTTAGAGTCCTTTAGCGATCGTGGGGATACCAAAGGGTGAAGTGCTGCCCCCTTCAATGTTATTCAAATGTTTATATTACTGTATAACTCTTTAACATTTGAGATTTTAACATGGATAGCTAGGTTAGTTCCATACACTGATTATCAATAAAATATAAAAAGTCTAAAAATATATACAAATTTTTACTAACTCGACTGTGTTTATGAACGAGAAACATAATCCCCACACGTAGACGATAACTTGTCTACGAATATTAGCCTCTAGAGATGTATTACAGGTAGAGATTAATTAAGAAATGTACTCTCGTTAATATGGTGATAATGGGAAGTATTTTTATATCATATTACTCCTTCTTGCTCTCACTAATTACCGTTGGTGCTCTGAATCTCACGCCATGTCAACAAAAGGGTGTTATATTTGATGCAGTGTCTCTCTATATTAACCCCTCTAACCTCTTGAGTACTAGATTCCCTGATTACTGTGCCTTCGTACTCAAAGTAATTAGTCATTGTATTTAAAGAGTTAAGACGTGGTACTCAAATTATTATGGCACTATACTTAAGGGGTTAATTTACCCTTTGAGGACGATGGCTCAACTCTTTAACCCATTGATGATAGTGGTGTTTTGACCCTTTGATGATAGTGGTGTTTTAACCCTTTGATGATAGTGGTGTTTTAACCCTTTGATGATAGTGGTGTTTTAACCCTTTGATGATAGTGGTGTTTTAACCCATTGATGATGGTGTTTTAACCCATTGATGATAGTGATGTTTTAACCCTTTCATCCTCAACAAAGATACGGAAAGACAGTAGTTTATATATACATATGAATAAACTTACATATACGTATCCATACATGTATATTATGTTCCCTGTGTTTGATGTTTAAGTTACATATAAAACATTACATATTCATAAACATCCTTTTGCTTTTGAAATGTAAACAAACGGAATAATGGTGATAACTTTAGTGATATTATTTAGAGTATTACTTTATCAACGTGGAAGTATTATAGAGCATTATAGAGCATTATAGAGCATTATAGAGCATTTTAGAGCATTATAGAGTATTATACTAAGTCTCAAATTAGTGTCAAAAGCGTCAATAGTCAGTCATGGGAAGATTGTCAGTGTTAATTATTTCAAAATCTACTTCTATTGAATTAGTAATTTTTAGTTTTATACATTCTAATGATACTTTGTAAGTCTGATAAGCATTATAGTGATCAATTACTCTACTATAGGTAATATTGTTGATCTATAGGAGCAGCATTATTATTATTGTTATTACCATATTTGTGAAGCATTATAATGTGGTCTTATTATCAGCAATTATATACTTTTACTCCCGCTTAATACTATTAGTTTTATGTGGTGTAAAGCATTATTATAAGTGATCTTACCATTAACCATTACTTATATAGTGCTTCTGATACTTAAGTGTAGTGTTGAGCATTATAAGTGACTGCACCATTACCCATAAGCCTCAGGTCCCTTATAAAGTGCTATTGTTACTAGTATTAAGTATTATAAGTGCGTTATTACTCTTAACTACATTACACTGTTATTACTTTTGTGTAGTGTTAAGTAATGTGACTGCACCATTACCCATTAGTTTTAACTATATTACACAATTATTATTTTAATACATTACTAAGCCTCTACATTAACCATCTACTCCCACCTGTGGTAATTAGTGATATACCCTAGCAACAGGTGTTCCCCAGGTGTTGTATTAATTAAGCATTATAATTAACACCGTCGACACTAACTACAGGTGTGTGTGCTACAGATGTGTTTGTTACAGGTGTGTTTGTTACAGGTGTGTTTGCTACAGGTGTGTTTGCTACAGGTGTGTTTGCTACAGGTGTGTGTGTGTGGGTTAGTGGTGAGAAGCAGTGTGTGTGTGTGTACGTGTGTGTAGCTGAACAGTGACAAAGGTCCGACCTGCATGTGTGTTTCCAGTTGGCTTGTATTTCATAACACTTTCCTATCTCAGGGTGACTCGTTTCTTGATGCATAATTTAGTCTTTAAGGTATAATGCTATAAGGGTTATATTACATTGTTATTATTCTCTTATGTTTTGAGCCTGATTGAGGTGTGTTGCTAATATTTACACACTTTTGTTTTTCTTGTTCTCATCTCAGTATTTAATTTGATGATAAATGAAGAGTGAAATAGCTATGTAATTAATATATGTATAAATGTGGATTAAATATAGATTTACAGACATTCACACACAGCCAGTTATAATTTCTCACAAGAACACAGTAATATGTCTAAATCCCACAGAAAATCCCTCAACATAAATAAGAAAATCCCACAATTCCTATGAGTGACTTTTACTCTCAACACCTGGGAATAGGTTGATCCAATCCAGGTGAAGCTGTCAGGTATACCACGACACCTGAGCCTAATCGTTACTATGCCTTGTGTCTATACCAATCGCACCACTGAGGTCTCGTATGTCAAGAGAGACAGACATACAGACAGACAGACAGACAGACATCGTACATAAAAACACAGTTAACGTACCTCCTCCTCCTGTACCACCACTGCCACCACCTCCAGTACCACCGCCGCCAATGCCACCACCTCCAGTGCCACCGCCGCCAATGCCACCACCTCCAGTGCCACCGCCTCCAGTACCACCACCTCCAATGCCACCACCTCCAGTACCTCCACCTCCAATGCCACCACCTCCAGTACCTCCACCTCCAATGCCACCACCTCCAGTACCACCGCCGCCAATGCCACCACCTCCAGTGCCACCACCGCCAATGCCACCACCTCCAGTACCACCACCTCCTGTACTACCACCACCTCCAATACCACCGCCACCGCTTCCACTACCACCAGTACCAGCCGTACAGTCTCTCTCGAAGTATGTTGTCCCGGGGCGGTTCTGTAGGGCGTCGCTGCCTCCTCCTGACGCTGGTGAGGGGAAGGACACCATTAATTATTATCACAGGTTAACGAGTCCCATAGGAGGTGATGATAATAATAATAATAATGATAGTAATAATAGCTTAGAACTTTTTCAACACATAAGAAGATGAACTTTGACCTTTATTAACACTAAAGTTTTAATTAGAATTTACTCAAAACACACACACACACACACACACACACAAGGAGGAAGAGTAGGACGATTTACCTTTATCGTCACCAGAGATGAAACACTGAGAACCCGTAGCGTAGTAAGAGACGGCACGACAGGTGAATTTACGGTAGTCGGAACACAGATTCTGGCACTGGAGTTCTGACGTCACACCATTGATCGTGTCATCGAGGTAAACCGGGTAGGAGGCTTCAGTCTTTGCGTAGGGGCAGGTCGAGCTCTCTGTAGGGGAGGAGAAGGTAAAGGGGTTGTTCTTGTTTTTGTTGTAGAGGAGACAGGGGGGAGGTGCTGTTAGTGGGGGGGTTGGTTAGTGGGGAGGTGCTGTTAGTGAGGGGGTTGGTTAGTGGGGGTGCTGTTAGTGAGGGGGTTGGTTAGTGGGGAAGTGCTGTTAGTGAGGGGGGTTGGTTGGTTGGTTAGTGTTGGGAGTGCTGTTGTGAGGGGGTTGGTTAGTGGGAGGTGCTGTTAGTGAGGGGGTTAGTTAGTGGGGGGGTGGTTGTTAGTGGGGGATTTGTTAGTGGGGAAGGTGTTGTTGTTAGGAGGGATGATGTTGTTATTTCTTGTATCTAGTGGGGTCCAAAAGGAAAAGGCTTCGTTGATACTGATGTTTAACTGAATGGTAGAGGATAAATGTGGTGCTATGATGAGTGTACGGTGAGGAACGATGGTCAAGAGGTTGTTAGCTTATGAGAGTGGACAAGGATCAAGATTTAACCACTATCTGTGTAGGTGGGGGTCGATATGCTCCGAAATTTTATGTGTGACTCGTGACAACCCTCATATACCAAAATTTACCTTCCATGGTCTCATAATGTTTCCCGCAAAGTAAGCACAGATAGTTGTTTTAGCTACTCTACTGTACAGGTATATTATCCATTACAGGTAAATGAAAAGAGGATCTCGTTCTTTATCCATCCAGTGAAAAACAAACACGAAGAGGTTTATTCTTTGTGTATTTGTTTAGTGATAAGTGAGACGGTATTTTTAGTCGACCATGTACAGCAGAGGCGAAGAGAAAAGCTTACTGTAGGTACCAAGGTGTAAAGCCCAACACCCTCTCTTCCCACGGTAATTAGTGACCTAAGACTCACCTGGGACACACATTAACTCACCTGGGACACACTGACTCACCTGAGACACACATTAACTCACCTGGAACACACATTAACTCACCTGGGACACACTGATTCACCTGGGACACATTAACTCACCTGGGACACACTGATTCTCCAGGTATTCCATGGTGGTAGATACAGCCTTGACGAATTCGTTAGGGGAGGACCTTCTGTCACTCCTACTCAGGCGACACAGGAGAGTGACCGAGTCGTATTCAGCCGACCTACACTGGAAGGTCGTCTCCAGAAGGCACGCCTGTAGGAGGGAACACGTAGAAGGTGTACACGATGCCTTACACTGAATGGCTGGATGTTATGTTGTGTAAGAAATGATGATAAAGTGAAAGAACACTTTTTTATTATTATATATATTTTTTTTCACCCAAGAATTTGTCATGGTTGTATTTAGGTGTTTGTAGTGACCATATCCTTTTTAGGTGTTTACAGTGACCATATCCCTTGTTTATTTTTAGGTGTTTGTAGTGACCATATCCCTTTCTTTTAGTGTTTACAGTGACCACATCCCCTGTTTATTTTTAAGTGTTTACAGTGACCACATCCCCTGTTTATTTTTAAGTGTTTACAGTGACCATATCCCTTTCTTTTAGTGTTTACAGTGACCACATCCCCTGTTTATTTTTAAGTGTTTACAGTGACCACATCCATTGTATATTTCCCCCAATTACCTCAATACAATCCCGACGGCTCTGAACCACCGCCTTGAGCCTATCGTCCAGGCCTCTCAGCTCCATGCCAGGCACCCTCTCGAAGTGCCACACATTATCCCGGCACAGTATGGGTAGAGCGGCTGTGGGGGGAGAGGAGAGAGGTCAGAAAAGGATGCCATTTATCTCTTAAGTTATTGTTTTTAGTTTATCTTTAGGTTAAAATTGGTGTTAAGGATTTTACTCGGATTTTGGACTGTGTTAAATTGGTGTTAAGACGAAAAATTCGGTATTCTTTTTTCCATTTTTTGGTTAGTTTTGATTATTACAGTGAAAGAAAGAAAGAAAGAAAGAAAGAAGGAAACTAGAAATAAAGAAAGAAGGAAATAAGGAAACTAGAAAGAAAGAAAGAAAGGTGAAAGAAAGAAAGAAGGAAATAAGGAAACTAGAAAGAAAGAAAGAAAGAAAGAAGTATAACAAAACACACTCCTTCACATACCTCTAACACAGATCTTCTCATAGTAACTCTTGCCTGGTGAGCTCACGATGTCTATTGCTCGACCCTGGGTGTTGCGGTCGAGTTTGAAGCAGCGGTTATTGCGGTAGTCGACGGCGAACGACGGACACTCACCCGAATCATCCAGACACAACTTGGCGCATTTCTACACCACACAAGAGAGAGAGAGAGAGAGAGAGAGAGAGAGAGAGAGAGAGAGAGAAAAAAAGAATATATTATTAGCCTTGGAAGTATTATATATTAGTGGACTTTTCTCCCTATATATTCCGTTATATGGGGGTTTCGTATTTAACGGACTCCTCGATATAGCGGACTTTTCTCCCTATATAATCCGTTACATGGGGGATTTTATTTATATGGTCTCAAATTTCTGTCTGTGAATTCTGTTATGTAGATTTTGGCTGTAATGACCCCATGTAACCTGTACTGACCTCACATGACCTGTACTGACCTCACTAGACCTGTAATGACCTCACGTGACCTGTACTGACCTATACTGACTCCATATGACCTGTACTGACCTCACGTACCCTGTACTGATCTCACATGACCTTTACTGACCTCACGTAACCTGTACTTACCTCACGTGACATATACTGACCTCACGTATCCTGCACTAACCTCACGTGACTTTTACTGACCTCACGTGACTTCAACTGACCTCACGTGACCTTCACTAACCTCACATGACTTCAACTGACCTCACGTGACCTGTACTGACCTCACTGATGCCTCCCGGAGAATCGTCAAGCTGGTAGAGTGCCTCCCTGGCCGTCCTTACAGTCAGTCCCGTCATCTTCTCATAGATAATGGTGCCCTGATCCAGCTCACACTGACCTGTACCCACACACACACACTCATGTTAGTAGCTGATGGAACACAGATGATAGGAGACAAGGACAGTTTATTGTGATACATTTTCTTTGTTTATTAGTATCAGATCAAATAAAGATAGCATTAAATCTCATAGAAATTGAATCTAATCCTGTATACTGTACATTCAGAATCTATCTTCAGTAGTATCGGATCCCATTAAGATAGATTCTGGTTCTTTATACATTCAGAATCTTATCTTTAGTAGTATCGGATCCCATAAAGATAGATTCTGATTCTGTATACATTCAGAATCTGTCTTTAGTAGTATAGGATCCCATAAAGATAGATTTTAATTATTCATACATTGAAATCCTATATCTTAATAGCATCAGATAGCATAAAGAGAGATTCTGATTCTTTATAAATTCATAATCTGCCTTTAGTAGCATCAAATCCTATAAAAACGGATTCTAATCCCTAATGGTTTGATGTAACTCTTATAGTGACCAGAGACAACTGCAGCTCTTAATATGGAATTCAAGCCTTTTGTTTAATAGGTTTTAATCTCCTTATAGACAGGTTCTGATCCTTTTTTTATGATTTGCGTCGTTTATTATAGAATCTTAATTTTATATGATAGTCTTCTTTTGTTTTGTCTTAGTCTTTATACTTGTCTTACCTCTTCTGATGTGTCCTTCTGTATCATGTAAGGAAATGTTTTAATGGATTAGGAGGTGATAGTTTTACAGTATTATATTAACTATTATGATTGATTCAGATAACTTTGTGAGAGGAGGAACATCTCTCTCTCTCTCTCTCTCTCCAGTTCCTAATTAATATATATATGTTCTTATAAATGTATAAACTTATTCACCTGCTGTCCACCATTACCTTTATATCAGTTATATAATATACAGTATACCCAAACATGTAGAGATACAAAATTTATATATGTAACCAAATGTACTGAAATGTACTCAAAAATAACTAACTCAAAATGCACTCCAAAATGTAGTTAAAAATAGACTCAAAATGCTCTCAAAATGGTTAAATGTACTCCAAATGTACTCAAAATAACTCAAAATGCACCCAAAATGTAGTTAAAATGTACTCAAAATGCTCTCAAAATGTAGTGAAAATGTACTCAAAATGCTCTCAAAATGTAGTGAAAATGTACTCAAAATGCTCTCAAAATGTACTCAAAATGCTCTCAAAATGTAGTCAAAATGTACTCAAAATGCTCTCAAAATGTACTCACTGACTGTACACTGCTTCTCCCCCGTGACGACACCTTTCTTGTACGGTAGAACTGTCTTGTTGAGTGAGACAGCATCGTCCCCTGATAAGTAACACCTGTGGAGGATAGTAATGAGGTCTTAATTACTCAACACCTGTGGAGGATAACATTGAGGTCTTAATTACTCAACACCTGTGGAGGATAGTAATGCGGTCTTAATTACTCAACACCTGTGGAGGATAGTACTGAGGTCTTAATTACTCAACACCTGTGGAGGATAGTATTGAGGTCTTAATTACTCAACACCTGTGGAGGATAACACCTTTTACCACATCTTGTTCTCTTATATCTCCTTACACCACATCCTTCCCCTCTTACACCTCCCTTACACCACATCCTTCTTTTCCTAACACCCTCTTTATAACATCCCTCCACCTTATACCTCCCTTACACCACACCCTACACCCCTTGCACCTTCCTTACACCACATCCTCCACCCCATCCACCCCTTACACTTCCCTTACACCACTCCCTACACCCCTTACACCTCCCTTACACCACACCCCTTACACCTCCCTAACACCACGGAGATATACACTACCTTTGCTCCGTGGGGTCAAACGTGTAGGAGCGACAGGTCATTATCCGAGAGCTGTCACACAAACTCTCACAGTCTGTCTGAACGTTGGCGAACTCCAGGACGTCTAAGGATATAACCATCGCATCGTTCTGTACGGCGTAGCGGCAGTCAGGCAGCACTGTGGGAGAGGGGGGAGAGTCAGGTAGCACTGTGGGAGAGGGGGGAGGTCAGGCAGCACTGTGGGAGGGGGAGAGTCAGGCAGCACTGTGGGGGGAGGGAGGTCAGGCAGCACTGTCGGAGAGGGGGTGAGAGTCAGGCAGCACTGTGGGGAGGGAGGGAGTCAGGTAGCACTGTGGGAGGGGGGAGGAGTCAGGCAGCACTGTGGGGGAGGGGAGAGTCAGGCAGCACTGTGGGAGAGGGGGAGGTCAGGCTAACTGTGGGAGGGAGGGGAGAGTCAGAGCAGCACTGTGGGGGAGGGGGAGAGTCAGGCAGCACTGTGGGGGAGGGGGAGAGTCAGGCAGCACTGTGGGGGAGGGGGAGAGTCAGGCAGCACTGTGGGGGAGAGTCAGGCAGGCAACATTAGGGGGGAGAGGGAAGTGATACGATAAGTTCTTTCATGGTAGTGTGTGTGGGGGGGTTGGTTAGGTTAGGTTAGGTTAGATGAGTGTACAGTCCCCTTCACTGGTGCGTTTACAGGGGCTCATCATATGAACAATCCACAAATCATTATCATTAAGATATTTGTTTTAATATTGTTTTACTTTGATTCCATAATATGTTTGCTAATGTGAGTTCCCGACTGTCGAATGTAAACAAACACAGGGTTACCACACTGCATAATACCTGACGAGCTCCTGTAAACGCGCTTGTGAAGGGAACTGAACAAGTCATCAGAGAATATGCTACCAGTTACAAGAGAAGCACTACTGGTAATGAACGTGTCTAGTACAAGTCGTTAAACCTTCCCTCCCTTGTACTCACTCCTGGTACACTGGTTCTCCATGTAGTCAATTGAGGACCCGGGTGCTGACACGAAATCGTTAGGTTTGGTCCTTCGGTCTTCCTTGCTGAGTCGACAGATCTGGCGGTTGAGGTCGTACTCACTTGATCTGGGGGTGAAGGGGGAGATGGAGGGGGGGGTTAGTTTTGGTTTGGTTAGGTTTGGTTAGGTTAGGTTAGGTTAGATTAGATTAGCATTCTCGCTCACCTTTACATCACTCTGATATAAATCATTGTCTCTCTCTCTCTCTCTCTCTCTCTCTCTCTCTCTCTCTCTCTCTCTCTCTCACCTGCAGGGGAAATCAGTCTCGGTCAAACACAGCTTCAGACAGTCCGCTCGGTTGCCCACGTTGGGGATACTCTTATCGTCGAAGCCTTCCAGATAGGAGTCCAGGGTCCTCTCGAAGGGCCACAGCCGATCCTGGCCACACAGCCGATTGTATTCCACTGTGGGGGAGTCCAGGGGCATCAGTGAGGGTGGTGGGGGAGTTGAGGGAGTGTGTGTGTGTGTGTGGGAGAGTGAGGGTGTGTGGGAGAGTGAGGGTGTGTGTGTGTGTGTGTGTGTGGGAGAGTGAGGTGTGTGTGTGTGTGTGTGTGTGGGAGAGTGAGGGTGTGTGTGTGTGTGTGTGTGTGTGTGTGTGTGTGTGGGAGAGTGAGTAAATGACAAAATTTAACACACAAATTGCTCCTACATAATAACCTACATAACTAACTACACCATAATAACATGTATGAACTGAAACTATGTATTAATGTACACTGTTTAGATTATGACTATGTATCATATAAAACATTCTTACTATGTATAATAACGATAAATACATAAATTCTCCCTATACATGAAAGAATAATACATATATACATAATTATTTAGCATACATAATCAATAAGTTACATAATCTTCACTACAAAATTGGATAAAAGGGTATTTCAGGGTGATGACATACTCACCTCCTCTTAGACAGATTTTCTCGAAGTAGTTGGAGCCTTGCTTATAGACGAGGGAGCGGCGCCGACCCTCTGACGTACGGTCGAAGGAAACACAACTGGAGGTGGAGAAATCTGGAGGGCGGAGGAGTGAGAGAGAGGGGGAAGGGGGAGAGAGAGAGGGGGGGAGAGAGAGGAAGAGAATGTTGTTAGTATTAATATATAACTTTCAAAGGTTATTTCATCACTTGTATTTCAGTCTTTTTGTAGCAGTAGTAGTAGTAGTAGTAGTAGTAGTAGTAGTAGTAGCAGTATAGTACACAACAGAATGTAAACAGTATACAAAGTCTTGGGTTGTGTATTACCATATTTCAATTATTAATTTTATATATTAACATTTTCTACCCCACTTAATAATAAATGAATTAACATAAACAGACATATATCACACACACACACGGTCAGGCAGCGCGTCGTGTCAGGGCCTCGACTGATCCTTCATGCTAAGCTAAATTGGGCGTCTCCCACAAGAGGGCCTCGACCGTGACCAGAGGAGGAGGGGCAAAGGTTGGGGGGAAGTAAGGGGTGTGGAATGGTGGGGTTAAAGGGGAGGAGGTTAGATTAGGGAGAAAGTTAGGAGATAAGAGATGAGAAATAGGAAGTAAGAGAATGAAAGTAGATTTAATTTCTCACGAAGAGTTGAGAAGAATTTACCCTCAATTATAAAACAAACATCTCACCTGTTGTGTCTCTGATGAATGACACCTGAAGTAATTAGCGATCACTGAATAACACATCTACAGTCTCTCTACTGTTCCGGGAGTCTTGTTTTGGTATAGAGTGAGGGAGGGAAACGTTTAATGGTACTCAGTATTGGAACGTTTCAACTCGACTCCTGTTCCTTATGTCCAGGGGGCGTTTTATTCCACTTTATTCCACCAGATTATTTTTTGGAGGAGTTTTAAGCTACAAACGTTTTACATCCTGTTATCAAACGTTTTATATCCTGTTATCAAACGTTTTACATCCTGTTATCAAACGTTTTATATCCTGTTATCAAACGTTTTATATCCTGTTATCAAACGTTTTATATCATGTTATCAAACGTTTTATATCCTGTTATCAAACGTTTTATATCCTGTTATCAAACGTTTTATATCCTGTTATCAAACGTTTTATATCCTGTTATCAAACGTTTTATATATTAGTATCTAGCTAAAGCCATCAATGTTTTGCATCATATCTGTGAACTTCCACTTGAAAGACACACGGGGAGACAACTTTTCTCTCTCCCTTCCTCATCTCAATCGTTTTCTCTCTCTCTCTCTTTTCCCGGCTCTCAGGTGGAGGGCGAGGCGAGGATCAAGCATTTCATCGCCTTGTTCCTGGATGCCAGCAGGAGGGCGTGACACATACTGAAGTCCATGGAGCGTCGCTTTAAAGGTAGGTGATCGACTGGTAGTGTTTCGTCACGGGAGAGAGAGAGTGAGAGAGAGAGGGGGTAGACAGAAAGGGAGAGAGAAAGATCGCCCATCTCTCTCTCTCTCTCTCTCTCTCCTTCCGTGTGATACCAGAGATACCTGTATAAATTTGGGACTTAATGGCTCAGGTAGAGGTAACAAGCGGGTTGCCATTACTCATTCTTACGTTACTATATTATGAAGGGATCGTTGGCTTAGGGTATTATAACACATGTCTATAACTTGTGACTATAACTTGTGACTATAACTTGTGACTATAACTTGTGACTATAACTATAACTTGTGGAACTTGAGGAAGATCTTGATGTAATTCGTTATATAGTTAATGGATTGTGTACGTGTTGATGTAACCCAGACACACACACACACACACACACACATCTTCACTCACACTAATTACCTTGTGGCTGTTACCTTTACCACACCTGTATCCGGTAACGCTAATTAAAGGTGTGTGAGTTTTTACGCCTATTTTTCCACTTTCACCTTCCGTTAAGTTTACATTGTTTTTCACTCTTGCTTTACACTCTTGCCTTCTTCCGAGTTTATCATCGTTTTTGTTTATATTCTTTCCATTTTTCTCTGTTTTCATGTTTTATTGCGTCTTTGTTTTAAGTTGTGTTTCTTTTGTATTTTCGTCTGACGTGAATTTAATATTGTATTTTGTCCATGTGTTTGTATGACCTCTGGTGTATAAATTGTGTATCGTTTAAAGGGAAAAAAATGTGTTTATGAGGGATATTATTTATGGTATCGCGTTTGTTTACTTTAATTTATTCTCTCTAGTCCTTGCCTCCCTCTCACCTCCCTTCCTCCATCCTTGCCTCTCTCCCTCCTATCTTCCTCCCTCCCTCCCTCCTCCTCCCTCCTTCCCCTTCCCTCCATCCTTGCCCTCTCTCCCTCCCTTCCCTCCCTCCCTCCTTGCCTCCCTCCCCTCCCTTCCTTCCTCCACCTTGCCTCTCTCCTCCCTTCCTCCCCTCCCCTTGCCTCCCTCCCTTCCTTCCTCCATCCTTGCCTCTCTCCTCCCTATCTTCCTCCATCCTTGCCTCTCCCTCCATATCTTCCTCCCTCCTTGCTTCCCTTCCTCCTTATCTTCCTCCCCCTTTGCCTCCCTCCATCCCTTCCTCTCCTCCATCCCTTGCCTCTCTCCCTCCCTTCCTCCCTCCTCCTTGCCTCCTCCCTTTCTTCCTCCATCCTTGCCTCTCTCCCTCCCTATCTTCCTCCCCTCCTTCTTCCTCCTCCTTATCTTCCTCCCTCCTTATCTTCCTCCCCTTGCCTCCCTCCCTCCTCCCTTCCTTCCTCCATCCTTCTCTCCCTCCCCTTCCTCCTTGCCTCCCTCCCTTTCTTCCCTCCATCCTTGCCTCCCTACCTTCCTTCCTTCCTCCTCCCTCCTCTCTCCCTCCCTTCCTTCCTCCTCCTTGCCTCTCTCCCTCCCTCCCTATCTTCCTCCCTCCTCCCTTTTCCCTTCCTTCCTCCCTCCTTGCCTCTCTCTCTCCCTCCCCACCTTCCTTCCTTCCTCCCTCCTTGCCTCTCTCTCCCCCCCTTCCTCCCTCCCTCCTTCCTCCCTCCCTCCCTTCCTTCCTCCATCCTTGGCTCTCTCTCCTCCTTCCTCCCTCCTTGCCTCTCTCCCTCCTACCTTCCTCCCTCCTTGCCTCCTTCCCATCCACCCACCTTGATTTTCACTTTCATTACTGCATGAGAACAAGAAACATATTTTAAAGACTTTTACCCCCCTGTCTCCCCTCCCTCCCCTTCTTACTTAACTACTTCCTGTCACACCTGTCCCGCCCCCTGTCACACCTGTCCCCCCCACCTTCACCTTCAGGTAGAGGAGGGAGGGGCTTGTACTCGTTCTGCTCAAGGGGAATAAATCTTTCCCACGTATCGTATCTTTATCATTGTGGTTCATCCGAGTGACGTTGTACTTTTGATCGATAATTTTAGGGGTTTCTTTCCTACGTGGCTGAGTTAGTATTATTATTATTATTATTATTGTTATTATTATTATTATGTTTCACCTTTTAAGTTAGTGTTATTCTGTCTCTCGGTTATCTTTTCGTTCTGTCATTCCTCCTCTTCCTCTTCTGGTTATTATTACCCCTTGTCCTGTTTCTCCTTTTAGCCCCTTCAGCTCTCACTCAATAAGCCCCCTCCTCTCCAGCCCTCATTACCCCCTTAACCACAGCGTCACTCATTGGAAAAGCCCCCTATAGCCCCTATAAGTACTACGTCACTCACCTACTGAAAAAGCCCTACACTGGGGGCTGTTATTGCAGACCCTGTTACACTCGCTGGTGACTGCTGCGTCCTGCTTGCTGAGGAGGGGCTGTGACGGCTCGTTGAAGGACATCCCCACCGTCTTCTCCATAGTCAGCGTCCCTCCGAAGCACTGGGCTGTAGGAGTCAAGAGGCACCGTGTTAGTGGAGGGGTGATGGAGGGGGAGGTGAAGGGGTGATGGAGGGGAGGGAGGGCTCAGTGAGGGTGGTGGAGGGGTGATGGAAGGGGAGGTGGAGGGGTGATGGAGGGGGTGATGGTAGGGGAGGTGGAGGGGTGATGGAGGGGTGATGAAGGGGAGGTGGAGGGTGATGGAGGGTGATGAGGTTGATGGAGGTGATGGAGGGAGGTTGATGGAGGGTGATGGAGGTGGAGGGGTGATGGAGGGGGGGTGATGGAGGGAGGGAGGGTCAGTGAGGGTGGTGGAGGGGGTGATGGTAGGGGAGGTGGAGGGGTGGAGGGGTGGTGGAGGGGTCATGGAGGGGTGATCGAGAGTGAGAGAAGATGATGAAGAAAGAGGGAGGGTCAGAGAGGGTGATATATGAGGGGCATAGGAAAAGAGAATGAAGGAATGATGGAAGAGAGAAAGAGGGAGAGGATATTAAATGAGGGATGAGGGAGAATAATAAAAGATGATTAAAAACAAAACAAAAAAGAGATAGGATAATATAAGAGAAAGTTCCATGTCATAAGGACACATGTACCATAATCAAGCATGTTAATGGATGACTTTTAATCCAATAAATATTTCTTTAACAAACTTCAAAATGCATAGACGAGATAAATTATTAATACATTCTCATACATCATACACGTTAATATAACATTCTGGTGTAAGTGATAAAGTGTATGTACATTAGCTTTATACATAAACATATACATAGGAATTATATTAACAATGAGAGGTTAAAATGTATTGAAGTTAAGAGATATATAATGTTAATGGTGATGTCAGCTACCGTGTCTGTGTGTGTGTAGGTGTGTGTGTGGTAATATTACACACACACACACACACACACACACACACCTCCATAATAATAAACTACCACATTACATAACAAGAGCTAAATACCAGGTAAATAATCCAAATTACCTCCAAATTTATTTCGACATTCTTACGAGCTCACACCTCCAACACCTGTAGTTCAAGGGGGAGGGACGACCTTGTTATGACGTAGTGAAAGTGAGAGACGGTGATTGGCTGAAGGATGTGAGTTACTTATTGGTTATAGGGATTAAAGTTTCCGTATGTCATTAACTCAGATTTAAATATTGAAGTTATTAAAGCGGGTTTTTCTCCGTGTCTTAATTTCTTGGTGTTTACTTTGTGTAATAAAAGGTGTAAATATGACATAAATAACAGAAATAACTTGTAATTAATACGTTGAGAAAAATTACGTTTGAGATACAATTTCATTCATGGTTATTCTACCTGTATTAATTACCTGTGTGTGTGTTTGGGGGTTAATCTTGTTTGTTTTAGTCAACTTCCTGAACGTGTGTCGAGAGGACTACTACACACTGGTCTGTATGATGGATTAAGGTGTTTATAGTGTGTGAAATGCTTAGGTATAGTTAATGTAGTGTGTGTGTGTGTGTGTGTGTGTGTGTGTGTGTGTGTGTGTGTGTGTGTGTGTGTGTGTGTGTGTGTGTGTGTGTGTGTGTGTGTGTGTGTGTGTGTGTGACAGCTTCAAGACGTACAGGAGTAGAAGAGTGAAGACAAATGAGTGATAAAAGTGAGAATAAAATCATAACAAACAATAAATATATTCATGCCAGCAAAATATGACGGGGAAGCCACGCCCCACGATACAGTCTTGGTACACCTTAATATATTTTACAGAATCATCAGACAGACAGACATGAGTAAATTCTGAGACGGTGGGGATCGTGCGGGTCATAACACAAAACAACGATTGATTAGATTGCAGTGTATTGATTTGCATTCCTGGGCCAGTGCTTATCATCTCACACACACAGATACAAAACTGATACAAATAATATAGTAAATATTGCAGTGTGTATAGAGGACCCCGACACATACACAGTGGGTCCTGAGTGGTGGTGGTGGTGGTGGTGGTGATATAGTGTGTGGTGGTGGTGATGGTGGAGGAAGATAATGCTGCTCCTCCTCCGTGCTGGTGCTCTCTCTCTTTCTCTCTTTCTCACTCTTACCCCAGCTGAGGAACATGATCCCAGCGCCACTCAGTCCTTCCTCATCTTTATCCTGGCCTCCTCCTCCTCCTCCTTCTGTTCCTCTTGTTCCTCCTGTTCCTCCTGTTCCTCCTCCTCTCTGGTGAAGGGATGGGTTAAGATGGTCAGGTCCCGCTGCCGATCCAGGTCTTCTTGCCGCGTCGTCGTGACTTTTAACTTCTCTCCACACGTTACTGCTGGTGGTGTTGATCTGACGACCCACCAGTTCCAGGACAGGTGATCTGGTTTCAAAAACACCACCGTCTGCGTTTTTCCTGACGGCGGTGGTGGTGATGTTGTCTAACCTGACCACCGTCTCGCCTCGTGGTCTGCTGAACTGCTTCGAGGTCTTGGGCTGAGTCTCGACCTTCCTTGGAGCATCACGTATCTCTAGAGAAGGTGAAGCAATGTCCGTTTCCCTATTATTAGTATCGAAGAGTCTCACTACCGTCTCGTCTGGGGGATTATTCACCCGTCTCGTAATGTCTCCTGTCTCTCCTATCGTCGTTTCATCCATCTTGACAGGTGAGGAAGGACCAATATCATCATCCATTTCCACGTCCCTCGAGGCAATAAATCCTCCTGAAGGTGATATAAGGGCTCTCTCGACACCTAGGGACCTGCTGTGTGTTGTGTGACGGGTGGCTGACGAGGGTGACTCAAGGCTGGTGGTGCCGTGTTGGTCTCCGCTGGACCCCGACGAAGGTGCTGGTGTGGTGGTCGAAGAGACTGACTGAAGCTCGTGGACAGCTTAAGGAAGGCAGGAGTAATTTTATGCTTCTGTTAACGTGTCCACCACCATCACCATTTATCACCATCTTCAACACCACCATCACCATTTATTACCATCTCCAACACCACCATCACCATTTATCACCATCTCCAACACCACCATCACCATTTATCACCATCTTCAACACCACCATCACCATTTATCACCATCTTCAACACCACCATCACCAATTATCACCATCTCCAACACCACCATCACCAATTATCACCATCTCCAACACCACCATCACCATTTATCACCATCTCCAGCACCACCATCACCATTTATCATCACCATTTATCACCATCTCCAACACCACCATCACCATTTATCACCATCTCCAACACCACCATCACCATTTATCACCATCTCCAACACCACCATCAACACATTTATCACCATCTCCAACACCATTCATTTATCACCACCCACCACCACCATTTATTCACCATCTCCAACACCACCATCACCCATTTATCACCATCACCACAACACCACCAATTCCCATTATCATCATCACCAACACCACCAACACCATTAACATCATCACCAACACCACCACCACCACCACTATCAAACACGACCATTAACATCACCACCACCACCACCATGACCACTCACTATCACTGCCACGTTGTTGGTTTTAGTAGAACAGTGAAGAAATGATCTGTGTTTATCACTGTCAAGAACCTGCCCAGTGATCACGCCTGTCACCCTGACCCACACACACCCACCCATCTACACACCACAACCCACCCACCCACCTACACACCCAGCTACACACCCACCCACCTACACACCCAGCTTTGTTTGTTTGTTTTTAATATACTTTCACAATAATGTTTTGGGTGAATATACTGATTAATTATAGAGAAATTTGACCCCTATATGTGGTGGCCGTAGAGACTAATTCCCTGGTCTTCTACAGGTAATTGTGGTATGATTATACAGGCGATGACCACAGAAGAAACTGGACTACCTTAGATAATTACCTTAATTAAGGTAACATCGACAGGTAATAACCGTAATTAATATAAAACCTACAGACGGTGTAGATGATTATGATAATCAAGAGAACATTGATAGATAATTACCCTCATTAAAGATAACACCTACAGATAATGATCCAGTGTAATTAAGGTTAAACTTACCTGAAGACAGAGCCGGGAGCGAAGCCAGCGCCACCACCAATAGTAGCGGCCGTAATCGTAACATCTGCCAAAGAAAAGAATAATACATTAGCCATAACAAAGTAATAATGATAATAATGGCAATAATGGTACTTAAAACAACGAATAATGGTAATTCAAGAGGAGAAATAATAATTAAAATGGTTGCATGTCAATAATAGGCCCCAACCTAACCTAACCTAACCAAACCTAACCAAACTTTTAGAATTTGGGCCCATTGGGATCTGAGTTTAATTAGCACAGATACCAGTTTAGTCGAGGCCCCAATAGTACTCGGCATCAAAGCTCTCGGTCTACCGTGGAGGCCTATTCGTACTGGCTGGCAGCCCGTTTCATCACTCACCACCACACATATGCTTCGGAACCTTGAGAAACCCTTTACCGAATCCTCTACCGAATCTTGTACCGAATCCTCTACCGAATCCTCTTCCGAATCCTCTACCGAACCCTCTACCGAACCCTCTTCCGAATCCTCTACCGAACCCTCTTCCGAATCCTCTATCGATTCTTGTACCAAATCATCTACCGAACCCTCTACCGAATCCTCTACCGAACCCTCTACCGAATCTTGTACCGAATCTTGTACCGAATCCTCTACCGAACCCTCTTCCGAATCCTCTATCGAACCCTCAACCGAATCATCTACCGAACCCTCTGCCACAGTCCAAGAGCGCTCGAGTGATTCAATATAGCGTCTCGTGGTCTCGAAGCCTCTGGACTATGAAACCAAAAGGAACGATAATTAACCGCGATAAAGTCCAGTTGGCTCTCCCATACACCTCTCACGGACCCCCCTCCTCCTCCCATACACACACACACACACACATACACACACACACACACACACACACCAAGTGACTCCTGAAGACACGTCATTCACCTGGTATGCTCTCCACACCACCACCACCTAGTACTCAAACTCTGGCACAACACTGAGTACATCCACGAGTACCTGGTCCTTGAGAATTAATTACCTGTGTAAGTCTCTCTCTCTCTCTCTCTCTCTCTCTCTCTCTCTCTCTCACTCTCACTCTCTCTCGGTCGAATAACTTTATAATTACCCCCATAGACAGACAAACACTCCACCCAGCCATATGCTCTCGATAATGAAGAGGGTAGGGGGAGAGAGGGGAGTAGGAGGGGGAGAGAGGGGAGTAGGAGGGGGAGGAGGGAGGGGAAGGTTTGTTAGTGTGTTCACGGCTCTCAACAAGGCCTACCTACTGTGTGTGTGTGTGTGTGTGTGTGACCTTAGTACCTTCAAATATATTCATGGCGTATGTAAACAATGCAGGTTCTCATGGCGCTTCCTGCAGGACGCCGAAACACAAACATAAACTAACAGACGGATGGAGGTGACTGCTGTAGCCTTAGTGCGGGTGATAATAACGAGAGAAAGGAAGGATAACTAAGGGATCACCTGAAGATTAGACACCCTAGATTATTTCCCCTGAAGCTTCGCCAACCTAACTTTAAGCTAACCTAAACCTAACCTAACTTTAAGGTAACCTGACCTAAACTAACTTAAATTAACCTAACTTAACCTAACGTAACCTAAACATAACCTAACCTAACTTTAAGGTAACCTAACCTAAACTAACTTAAATTAACCTAACTTAACCTAACGTAACCTAAACATAACCTAACTTAACTTTAAGCTAACCTAACCTAAACTAACTTAAACTAACCTAACTTAACCTAACGTAACCTAATTTAACTTTAAGCTAACCTAACCTAAACTAACCTAACTTAACCTAACGCAGCCTAAACCAACCTAACTTAAGCTACTGATGGTAATAATTAAACACATGTAAGACACTATATTTTGTTTACAGTAAATCACACCGGCTGAAAGTAATTAGTAAATAAACGGAGAAATTCGTTATAAAAATCCTTAGTTATTAATTGAAAGTTGTAAATAGTTGTAAATTACGAGTTGTGTATATAAATAACAACCCACAACTACCGGTACTTTAACTAAGGTTTAATTATGACCCAAATTATTCAGGCAATTACTGTTCTTACCTTCATTAGGAATTTAATTATTACCGTATACCGTTTAATTACCAGAGTGTGTTGTGATTGTCACGAGGCTCTCTGTGTCATGACGCTGGCCTTCCTCCCCCCCCCTCAACACCCCCCCACCCCACCCCCCCTCCCCATCAACTCCCTACCCCAAGTTTTATCACCCCAGTACACTTACCTTAATTCCTCCCCACATCCCCAAGTCCGACCTCCACAATCAAGTCCCTCTACCCACACACTCCAAGTCCCTCTACCCCACTTCAAGTCCGTCTACCAGCCACCCCACCACCCCCCTCTCACCCCTCACCCTCCAAAGAATGGGGAAGACTTAGGCAACACAGGTGACGTAGTCTGACGCAGGTAATTCAGGTGTTATTAATGACTCTATAGCACGAGGGCTTCAGGTACCAGGTGTGGTAATTACGGGAAGAAACGGCAATTACTCTTACAGATATGCATACATACATGTAAACAACTACACATTTACACATACACACACAAGTTAACAAACACATTTACACACACACACACACACACCTTCACCTACAGATCAAAATACACATACACATAAGTATACATACAAATCTATACACATTCCCCATTTACTCTCAAAAACACGCATAAAAATAAACCTACAACATACATACATACATACATACATACATACATACATACAGTAAAAGCACATATGCCACATCTCCCTCAGCGGCAGCGTGACTCTCTAACCAACAGGTGTGAGGTTAGACCGAGAGGTGGCAACAGCGCTATGTGTACGGCCCGGACAGTGGCTCAATAACAGAGGGGCGTTGACGGGCTGATTTAATGGTGATTGTACAGTGAGCCATTATGTCAGTATAGCCAGACTACATAAACTACAGGGTACTAGTTAATGGTCTTGTCTTCCTCTACAGTGGGTGGTTCTCAGTGGCTAATGGTCGTATTTTTTCCCAACAGGTTTTTATTATACACAGGTGAGTTTGACGTCTACCTGTATGAGTTAAGTGACCAATTACCTTCCATAGATAAGGTTTGTTTATACACCGTCGATGGGTTAGGTTAAGGTTTTTTAGGAGTCTATATCATTAATGTGGAGGTTGTTTGTCTGTTTTTTTGTGTTTGTTTCTCTTCTATGGTTTACGTAATGAGATTTAGGTGGTCGTGTTTTTTTTTTGTGTTTTAGGTTTACCTGTTGAGGAAATATGGGTCGATGATCTTTTGTTGTTTTAGGTCAGATGTTGTTGTGTTGATGTTCCTTCATAGTTTGTGCAGTAAATGTTGATGGGGTGTTTGTGTAGGAGGCTGTTTGGAGTGTTTGTTTTTGTTTGTTTTAGGTGAATTGAGGATTAAACAGAGACACATACACCTGTTTATGTCACCTGATGTTTAAACACTCTAATATTACCTAGTGGGTTAGGTTAGGTTAGGTTATTTTACGTTAGACCAGGTTATGTTAGGTTAGGTTATTTTACGTTAGACCAGGTTATGTTAGGTTAGGTTATTATAAATTTAACCATCAGGTGATATAAGCTAGAGGGAGGGGGACCCATCTCCACCTGTCCCTCTAAACCCTGATCCTTTACCTATAACAACCTCTCATACACACACACACACACCTGAGACCACCTGGAGATTCATTAAGCCTGTGTGGGGGAGACAGTGATGTGCAGGTCACTTTGGAGGGGGTGTGGGATAGGAGGGTGGGGGGATAGGGAAGGGGTGGGGATAGGAGGGGAATTACCTACCAGCACAGGTATTTGGAGGTAATTATGAGCGAGGGACTTATGGGAAGATAGACTGACAGACAGACAGAGAGTAAGAGACAGTGTGTGTGTGTGTGACATGTGTGTGTGTGTGAGGGTGTTTACAGTGTGTGTGTGTGTGTGTATGTGTGTGTTTATGTGTGTGTGTGTGTGTGTGTGTAGGGTGTTTATGTGTGTGTGTGTGTGTGTGTGTGTGTGTGTGTGATGTGTGTGTGTGTGTGTGTGTGTGTGTGTGTGTAGGGTGTGTGTGTGTGTGTGTGTGTAACAGAAAAAGAGCTATAAAAGAAAATATATTTTCTTTGTAATTTGGTCAATCTATTTTTTGTCTTTTTACAACACACACACACACACACATTACACACACACACAACATACACTGTGGAATAGTTAATGAAATGTACGGGAAGAATGTCAAGGTTCCTTCATGCTTTATGTGTGTGTGTGTGTGTGTGTGTGTGTGAGAATGTGCATGTGTGTGTGTGTGTGTGTGTGTGTGTGTGTGTGTGTGTGTGTGTGTGCATGTGTGTGTGTGTGTGTGTGTGTGTGTGTGTGTGTGTGTGTGTGTGTGTGTGTGTGTGTGTGTGTGTGTGTGTGTGTGTGTGTGTGTGTGTGTGTGTGTGTGTGTGTGTGTGTGTGTGTGTGTGTGTGTGTGTGTGTGTGTGTGTGTGTGTGTGTGTGTGTACAGGATAACAAAACACGTGTAAGATATATGTATAAAATCTTAGGAGAATTGTAATACTCTTCTAAGACAACAGGACGTCAATAGGATCTGTAGGACACCTGTAGGACACCTGTAGGACACCAGATACGGGTCAACGTCTAGGGTGGGTGTCACTCACAACTGGCCGGGGCGTCACTCTCCCCTCCCGATAAATGGATCCGGTGGTAGGAGTGACCACGCCCCTCCTGCCCTCCCCTCACCCCCTCCTAACAGCCTTATCTTCCTCTTCTCCCTCATCATCACCAGTATCATCCTCCCCCTTCCCTCTCCTCCTCTCCCTCTCTCTCTCTCCCACACCATTATCACTCTCTCTGTTCCTCCCCAACATCCGCAAAGCATAAATAAACGTAACAATAACATATCCGTCCTGGGAAAAGGAGAGGAAAAAAATAGATAACGAGTGTACGGTCTCGATTGTCCTGGGAAAAAAATAAATATGAAAAGTAAATAAAATAAAGATGTGGTTTATTCCTTGATGTATTTATGTGTGTGTGTGTGTGTGTGTGTGTGTGTGTGTGTGTG